ATGTAATTCTCTGAACATTTTTAAACATGAATGTTGCAGATAATTACTCCTTTGAAAGTGAAAACAGCTTATTACGTTCTGTTTCAGAAATACATTTTCTAAAAAATATATTGTGGTGTTTTTTAATCAGCTGTCACATTCCACAAAGATTATTATCAAGATTGCTGTTAAAGGGAAAGTAACATGCTTTTAAGACAATAGAAAATGGAAGCGCAGAGCATGTCTGGAACTGCTCGATTTGATTGTTATAAATTGTTTATGAAGTGTCACTCCTTATTTCATCAAAAGCTTTTCTTGCAGCAGAGATCATGTGTGCTTCAGCATGCAATTTTCCCTCTCCAGAGGGATGACAATATGCCGCAGTTTACTTTGCTTGGGTTACACTGCAGTATCTTTTTTTTGTTGTTTTTTTTTTTTAAGGCAGGCACTAGAATATGTCTCTTTCACCATGCAACAGCTCCCACTGATTAGCAAGGAGAAATAAATATGCTGAGTGACAGGGCTTGCATGCTGTATCACATAGACAAAACCCTGTTGTGCTCAGACAATTAAAGAGATGGTACCATCCCCCACTGAAAAGAATATTGCTAATGCAGAGGTTTGTGAGCCATTAAATATTCCTACACTGCAGATATTTCAGATTAGTTCTTCTAATGCTTTTCCGAACTAGATAAGCCTTTCTGAATCTATGCTATAAAATGAGTATTGTAAGGATTTTCTATACCAAAAAAATTGTATTTTTAAAGATACTTCATTATATTTATGACTGTTCGTCATGAAAATGACACAGATACTTTCATATGTGATTCTTTTAGAAGGTTGGGGCTGTTTCAGGGGTGCACTATGGGATTAGATGAATAATGTCTATTAATAAAAGTAAAACTTAAAGCTATTTGTGGAACTCCACGATGCATCAACACCCTTTAGCTGTAGCTTAGTAAGCTCAGATGGCAGTTCTTAACCAATGTGGTGTCAGGTCTGGGTAGAGGTCCACACGCCTTACAGGGCACAGAACTTAAATCCAAGAAATTGCCGCTTCAGTCACAGAAGTATTAACAACAAACCTATCTTTACAGAACAACCCGAATTATCATGCTGTAACAAGTATGAAAATCTACCAATTGTTTGTAAAGCTGTAAGCTCTCCACTGTGCCTGCAATTTGAGTCTGTGGATCCCGCCTGTGTCTGCAGACTCCCGGCTCCGGCAGCACCCGGGCCGCCTGTGCCCTCTGCTGGAAGCAGCCACGGATCGCACATCCCGCGCTGCCAGCAGCCGGAGAGATGCTCGTACTGCATCCGATCTAGGCATGGTACTCAGCAACAGAAATTTCTGCTTAAAAATACAAATAACCCCCAGAACATCTTTAGGGCCTCTACGAACAAAAAAAAAATATTTTAGACGTAATCTTCTATGATGGATGCAGAACAAACCTTGTCCTTAGAAGTGAAGCTGAGTTTGTTATAGAGTTGAGTAAGGCCAAGATTTGAAAAATCCAGGAAATTTTCCCCTTTTATGTCTTAATATAGGTTTGGGGTATGGTTGGGGGATTTTTGGGGGGTGTGGAGGAGGGTTGGAGGTTGATGACACCTTCACAAAATAAAAAAGACTTACATTCCTGAAACAGTAACAGAGAGTAAAAAAAGTTCATTTCTGAGACAATTTTAAGGGAACCTTTCATATTAATTTTTCATTCTCTGTGAGCTGGGACAGTAAGTGAGTGCAGTGTCCTACTGTTCTAGGAATTCTGCTTAATGCTTTGCATAACAATATATGACCGATCCATTATTCTGAAACAATTGTCTTATGTCAACAATAAAACATTAATTTATTTTATACCTGCAGGTTAAAGAGGAAGTCTGCAAGTCAGCTGTGTCTTCCATAAGCTCTTTATCTTCAAGAAATACTGAAATAATTTCAAAGAAATATGAAAGGATACAAATTTATTCAAATATATACACTTGGAATCCAAAAATACATTACTCTTTTTTGTAAAGGACCAAAAAGCTAAGCATTCGAGACACAAAAAATGGAGAGTGACTTTAGTTGGATCATGGGTTCAATAAATATAACTTTAAAAATGACAGAAATGTTATAGGGTAAAATGATTTTGTAAGTGACCTCATACACTTCTGCACACTACCAAATTCATAGAAAAATTACCACATAAATATTTTACGCTTATTCCACACAGAATTTTTAAGTTAACTACATACCTGTCCAGTACTGACTTACCTTGTTCTTTAAACACAATTTAAGAATAATTATTGTTAGAAACTAGGACAGTAAAACACTGACTATTCTGGATTGAAAAAAACCCACATTTTAATTCAAATCAGACAGTTACTAAAAACATGCACATTGTCCTTCAAAGTACAGCATTCTCAAGGGGTTTTTTTGTGGTAGCTATATTGATCCCAGTATACAGCAGCTACTCTTTACAAAGAAATGAGAACACACACAAAAAAGCATTAATTACCCCATGCACAGGTCCAATACACGCACTGTGTCCCATATCTTGCCACCTGCATGCAGTAACCTCTTGCCAGGGACCATGTCTTTTAGGCTCTGTAAAGGCATCAGTTACCTGACAAAAGCTGTGGCATGGCCATTAACACCTCTAACAGGTCTTTTTCCATCCTCTTGGCAAGCATGGATTTCTTGAGCAAGGATGGAACTAAAGTGACTCCGTTATGCCCTCATGAGGTTATTTTAGTGACACTATCACCTATCCCAGGGTGAGCCGTGTCTACTGGATCAGCTGTGGAGCCATCCTGCATTGGACTCGACTAATAGAGAATATCACCGGTCCACTCAAAAATTTGACACATAGTTAGAATGGGTTTCTTTTCTGAATTCTAGAAAAACTTCTCTGGCCAGGACAATATAAGCACTTCTCTAGATGGTGACAAGTTGATACAGATCTAAGTCATGAAGCAACGTGTGATCTAGACGTCTAAAATATATCGCCTCACTGCCAAAGAGGTTCCCCCTTTATTCCACCAACCATTACTTGTTAATCTTCATAAACTTCATACAATAAAAACACAAAGACTAGAATAATTCCATAAAAAGGTTATCTTTATTCTTTTGGGTTGTTAGCAATGCAGTTATTTTCGGTAAAACAACTTCCTGCATGCAGTTCATCAGAACAATGAGCCAATAATTTCTATAAAAGCAGGAGCCAATCTATATTCTAGAATAAAGAAGAAATGCAAAGTATTTCACTGCCCATTGCACAAGTTCACTGTTCATCCTCATAAAGGAAGATTTTGAATAACAAATTATATTTAAAGCATTTCTACTGCAGTATGTACCAGTAAGCAAAGCAGACAGTGTGAGAATATTTTTGGGGAAAGCAATGTTTTTATGACTACGATTACCCTGAAAATTACCAGACCGAATTATCATTAAAAAAAAACAAACCCTTTTATCTTTTTTCATGTAAAAAGACCTACTTACTGATCAGAAAAATCACTGTACTGTTCATTTCTTTTTAAATTATTCCTTATTAAAATGCTATAAAAAATAATTAGCAGAAACTTCCAATTACCAATTTGCATTGTACCTTAGGCTTCCCAAAAGTAAAGTGTTAAAGACAGACATCAAGAAAAAATAATAACAATATGAAGATATGTGTAATTTTTTATAAGTATAAAATGCTATAAATTAAAACTACTTTCAAAATAACAAGAATAGATCAATAGATATATATTATAAAAGTTTTTCTAGTCCCACATTTTAAGCCATATATTTGTCCTGTATAGTCCGATAATTTACTGCATATTTGCTGATTACAAAATTCAAACAAAATAAAATATTTAATAGCAGCAACTATTGCTTACTGGTATGAGGAATGATGGTCTTGTCGAATAGTTTTTTTTCTTTTTACCTCTCACATGTCTTCCCATCTTAAACTTTAACAGCTGTAGCATAATAGCAGCAAGCATGCATCAGTTAAAGCTTCCCAATTATTTGGAGTATTACAGAATATATCATAATATCTATTGAAATTTAATAAGCTAACTTACTAGGGTACATATGTGACACATACAGAGTAATTAGGTCATTGTCTCTTTGTTCAAAAAGATACCACCGTGTAAACAACTGATTAAATAGCAGAGGATTTTACTTACATGTATAGTGTCAGCCTGGATGACAAAAAAAGTCATCTAAAACACGATGCAGGACAAAGCTGATGTAAGTACATCAACTCAGCTTTCTATAGAATGCATTACAGTGGAAACCTGACTAAAGTGCCATAGGGGGTGTCAAAACCACCTCTGACCTATTTATTTTGTGTCTCTGGCATGATCCATCCTTCCAAAGCATAGAATTTTAAATCTGAGGTATACATTAAGGGAGTATTTGTCCCCAAAGGTACTCTGCTATCAATTTATTCACATAGCTCTGATTATTGTCCTAAGTGGGATATACTCATGAGAAATAAGAAGTGTAGAAACAGACTTTGGAATGAAGTATGGAAACTACTCATGATATTACAGGGTCTACTAGTTTTAAAAAAAAAAAAAAAAAAAGCTTACCCCTCCTTTTTTAATCTGTATAATTTCCTATAGGCACAATTTAGCATTTGTAGTTTTTCTGTGAAAAGAATTATTTGAATATTTCAGGAATTATGAAGCATCTTGTACTCTGAAAGGAACTGGGTTTTTTCCAGAGTTTCATGATTTTTGGAATGGGAGCTGTGTGTAGCACCATTTATATAAATCACTGTATCTGAAATGGATAGTATAATAAATGAAGAATTACTAAAAAGTATTAAAAATAAGTATATTAAACTTAAGAGACTAAGCTACCAACCTCTTTCCAGTGAAAATTATTCCCTTGTTTTATTTTTCTGATAAATTCTCTATCTAAACTCTGGGGTTTTTATTATAACTGCTGCTGATTTGATCTAGATCCTGAGGTTCAGTAATCTGGAATCTTAGTTTCTGCATTTAGAGTTGGTTTCAAGAGAACTATGTTCATATATGATGTTATAATCACATATTCCGGACATTTGTGTTCCTCTGCATACAGAGTATTACTTAGCATTTAGTATTTATTTAAATAAAAAGTATTTAGATTTTTTTATCACACTGCAGAATTACTGATAGCAGTGTGTGATTAAAGCAAATAAGATAACAAAAAAAACCTCTGACACACATGGAACACAGGAGATGAAATGAACTTGGTGGACACACTTATTCCACAAAAATACCCGCTTGTAAGGATTGGTAATTTTGCACTCCAATAAGGGTTCCTACAGTCTAAGTAGAAATTTTTTGTCTCCTCTCAGTTAATGACAGCTGATAATCAAAACTATTGTCCTGCAAGTTTGTTTCCCTGTAACAAATTGAGAGTTTACTAGTGAAGGGTCATAGTCTTGATACAGGCACTGACCGTAGCAGTGGGTAAATATGTAAAAACTTGTAATTTTGGCATAATTCTTCAATAAGAATGCTACTGATAAAAACGTCATCTTCTCAGGCTTGTGAACATTCATCATGGACAACCTCTCTGTCTTTTACTTTTTATTTCCTTTTCTGTCTTTTCCCTTGTCTTCTTTTTCTGATTTGTCATCTTCATATTTTTCTTTTTCTGGTTTTGTTACACTGTCATAGGAAGGTGGAGCTGTGGTGGATGCAGACATATCCACTTTCCCTGGAGGTGAGTTTTCACTTAGCTTACCAATAATCATATCTTTTCTGATAAGCAGATCAACCCCATCTTCCCGATACATAAATGAAAGTTTCTTTACTGCCTGTCTTAAAAGATGACGTCTGTAAGCACGCTGAATGATAGCAGCAGATACTTCTTCGTGTTTTCGTTTCAATGTGGTTGTAATTGGTTCATAGGAGACTTTAGAAGGATTGGCTGCCATAAATCGATCTTCCATCTGTATTCTGAGGGCATCCATCTCATCACTTTCCCCCAAAACACGCTTTGTGAAAGCAAACAGGATGTCAAGGCAGTGAATTCTGTCACCACTCACCATGGGTAGATCCATTGCAATAAGCTGAATTGTGTTTGGTTTTGGTATATTAAGAGGAGGATCTAGAGAAGCTGCAAAATCAGACAATTTGCTATATTCTATGAACTGTGTTGCATCAGGATCGTATTTTTCCCAGACCTCATAGAACATCTCAAAGTCGTCCTCGCTCAAGGGTTCAGCGCTTTCCTCAGTAGCAACACTGAAGTTCTCCAAAATCACAGCAATGTACATGTTCACCACTACCAGAAAGGAGATGATAATGTAGCTGACAAAGAAGAAAATCCCAACAGAAGGGTTGCCGCAGTCACCTTTCACAGAGCTCCCAGGATGATCTTTATGGGGATCACAGTCGGGCTCCCCACTGTTCAGAATTGGGGCAAGCAAAGCATCCCAGCCAGCAGACGTGGTGATCTGAAACAGGCAGATCATGCTGTTGCCAAACGTTTCAAAGTTGAACATGTCATCTATACCAGCTTCCCTCTTAACATAGGCAAAGTTGGACATGCCAAATATCGCATAGATGAACATGACCAGGAAGAGCAGCAGACCAATGTTGAACAGAGCAGGAAGAGACATCATCAAAGCAAAAAGCAGAGTGCGGATTCCCTTGGCGCCTTTAATGAGGCGCAGGATTCGACCGATTCTGGCAAGTCGTACAACTCTGAACAAAGTGGGGGAGACAAAGTACTGCTCGAACACCTTAGAAAGAAACATACCTGTGAAATAAAAGAATAAAATTAAGATAATAAATTTAACACATATTACATTTTCCACAATAAAATGTGAACAAAACCCAACTGTAGTTTTGAAATCAGTGGAAGATTACTGGAGATTAAATTTTATCTGCTATGGGTAATTTTAGATTTTTTTCCTAGTACTCTTAGAACAAAAAAAAAAAAGCAAATTCCAGAAGTATTAAAACTGACACAGATCTATTAAGAAAGTTACTACTCTCAAGTATGCTTTTTATTTCATAAACAATCAAGAGAATTTAAAATTAAGTAACACCTCTGGTTTGCATAACTCGACAGAGATAAAGCATTAAATACATACCTAACTATATTTCATTTTGAATATAAGGATTTCTTACCTACTATTGAAAGAATAACAACCACAAAATCAAAAATATTCCAGCCAATGGTGAAGTAATAAAAACGGAGTGAGAATATTTTGAAGACACATTCTCCAGTGAAAAGGACAACAAAGACCAAGTTAATCCAGTGTAAAATATTTTGCATCAGTTCACTCTGGTCATCTGTTTCTATCATCATTGTGACCATGTTAAGACAGATGAGAACCATAATGGTAATGTCAAATGCTTGTTTTGTTACAATATCAAACACCAGACCTTGCAATTTGTTCTGAGGGGAGAAAAAAGAAAATGTGATAGTATTTTGTATTTAATGAACATCCTTTTCCTCCCTCCTATTTCCTTTTTCCTCTCCCAAAATACACAACCAAGCAAAAGGCTGAAAAATCTAAGAAAAACACTGTCCAGTAACTTCCTTAGTTGCCTGTTCTAAGTTTTCCCCTGAAAACCTACAGGCTTATATTTCTTCAGATTCTTTGATTCTCTACTTCCTCAGGCACAACAAATATGAGGTTTTTCCTGCAGAACAGACACATGTACATGGTTCATTTCAGAATGGACAGATAACTTGAATTAGGCCTAAACCCTTTTAGACTCAAGGAAAAATTTTTTTGATAGTTAATGTACTGCTGCCATTTCTTCCCAAATATAGATGATAGAAGAATAGTACACATTCTTACCACGGGTCTAGGTATAGGTTTTTGTGGTTTCTTGGTTCCCAGCTTCTTCATTGCATTGTAATATTTCTTTTGTTCTTCTGTCATGAAAATGTCTTGACCTCCAAGGTAAAATAATAAAAAAAACCTGATTACAGTCAAGGCTTTAAATCCATTAATTCACAGCATTGCAGAACATGGTTTTAATAAACCCTTTATTCATTCTTACATATTGTAAACAAAATCAAACATAGTAATTATTTCAAAGATAGTTAAAATCTCTGATGAGTCTTGAAGGAAAAATAAAACACATTAAGGAACAAAGAAATGCCCCAGAGCTTCTATCTATTTGTTATTTTAAAAAATACATACATGATTAATTCAAGTAAAGAAGTATGAAAAAACCAACTTGTAAAATATACATTCCATGTATACTTAAAAATCTAGCATTATAAACTCCACATTGTAAATTAATCTACCAGAAATAAAAAAAGCTTCAAAGGTACAAAGATGCACTGCAAGCAGATATGCCTTCAGGCAAAACATGAGGAGAAAGCAATTAGTGACTTTACTTTTCAGGATGCACATTTTACCATTTCAGCACAGGTATCTCAGTTCAGAAGATAGTACTTCCACTGTGTATATATATATATGTACATATATATATATATATGACTTGATCAACTCCCTATATTGTACAGAGATCATCAGAAGCATGAGCTTAGTCTGAGGTTTCTTGCCTGAATAAGAGGACAGCAGTCTGAATAAAAGACGATCTACACTGGTATGTGTAATACACACATGGAAATGCTTGACAGAAATACGATTTATATTGACAAGTAACTTGTTTTTTGTTTTCATGCATTTGTTTGTAAGTACATTCCAAGTATCTATGATGTCAAAGTAGTGGCATTTGGAAAAGAATTTCAGAGTCACAGGCCATTCTGTCGCTTTGTCTCACTGACTTTGTCAAATGCTGTGTCAATCTTATTGACAAAGTAATGATGAATCTGGATGAAAATGTGTTTGACTCTTTCAGCTGTGGCTATATATAGACAGGAAGATTTAGAAGTCAAAAGAGACCCTGTTTGGCATGCTCTCCTCATAAGTCAAACATTCAAATAAAATTTATTTCTTAGAGAATACAGGTTTTGGAAGAAAAACAAGAAATGAATTTGCTAATTATGGTGGAAATGTGATATGACTGTCAGGAGATCTTACCCAGTGGGAAATAATAATAAAAACCAAAAACTATGAAGAAACTGGCACTGAACTGGGGATTTCTTCTGCTGTCTCACTGATGTAATGGCTATCATGACTGAACAAATCATCCTTGTCTCAGTGTGCTGTCCATAGGGAGAATATAGGTCTCAAGACAGGATACCCTGGAGGATTGTAAGGGTTAGGAAGTTGACAGCTAGCAGAACATTTCTTTCCTCATGGGAACTAATGTGATCAAAGTAGGATGCACACAGGAACCACAGAAATGCACACAGTTTAACTACACAGAGACAGTATATTGCAACATCAAGTCTTTTCCCATTCATATTTCGACGACATTGCCCAAAATGAAGCGATCTCAGTAACGTCAAGACAGAACAAAGACCAGAAAAATGCTACTGGGTAGTGATCTGGACATTTCTGACAGCACAGGTGCATCTACAAATTCAAAAGACAGATGACTAATGTTTGCTAGTTAGTTACATGAAACTGAAGATATGAACGTGCAGATAGAATTTTCCCCAGCCTAATTGTATCTGCAGTATTTTACTTTCTTGGTGACAGTCACAACAGCTACAAATGTACTAGGGGTGGGTACCACACTGCCAGAGAAAGTCCTTTAAGCAGGAACCCTTCTCTGCCTTCTGAGTCATAATGATTTCAGTAGACAGTGTCTGCCAAGTGAACTTAATAGAAAATCACCTCATTACTGGGTAAGGCCACCTTGTTATGCATCAACTGCCAAAAATGCCAATAACCTCAGGTTATATACAAAAATGTATATAACCTCAGACTTGCTCTCCCCAAGGATGAAAAATGGAACCACCTTCCTCCTAAGCAATGGATGCACCTGAAGTCTATTCCAAGGGAGGTGCAAACATCTCGGAGGATGAAGATGCCACTAGGTTTGGAACCACTAACTCCTCCTCTCTATTATTGGGTCTGCAGATAACAGTCTTAGAGGATCTGAAGAAGCAATATAGGAAGCTGCATACTCCAATCTAAAGTGGAAAGATTTACTGAAGTTTCTACTGCAGTAAGTCTAGCAAGATCTTTTTTCAGTATAATGAATTATTGACAAACCATCTCAAATCACAAATGCAGAAATTATGTACAGCCTTGTTATTACTTAGCTCAGTTAAAAAAAAAATAAAATCAATATTCCAGTATGATTCTGCCCCAAATGTGCACAGAAAAATAAGACTATTATAGACCTTAGGCAGCATTTATAGTTTAAATAGCAAGGACAGTTTAATTTGCTATCATAGTCTGCATTTTAATCTATCTAAATGCTCCCAGAGTTCTTGACACAATTCTGTGTTCATCTGAATAACAGAAACAATTTCAGTTGAAAAGAAAAACTATATATTTTCAAATGTCATCAGTTTTCTTTCTTTTGCAAACTCACTACTAATTCAAGAGTTTGCCAACTCTCTCTAGTCTTACAGTACAGAGCAGTATTTCCAGCACTCAATTTGTCTGTATTAGTGCCTGTAATTGAGAAGGCCTTCACTGTACTGCTCTATCTCCTTATCAATTTTGATATTTATAGTTTTGCATATTCTCTTCTTTCCTGTCATTTATTTGCTTGACTTAAATCATCTGCATTCTCACAAAGCTTTGTCTCAGCACTGTAAGGGTAAGGAAAAACAAAGATGTAACTTTCGGATGTACAGCATATCACTGGGCTGTACAGGAATGTTGACAACACTCAAACACTCAGTGTAACTGTAAATTACTTCAAATGCCTTGAAAAGAAAGTACTATTATTTCATTATTCTGAATAAACAGAAATCTTAACAGCTGATTTCTTTTTTTAAATTACTATGAGAAGTTTCAGACACATTTATCCTTGCATACATTTTCTGAGTGCTCAGTAACAATGAAGTGTTGTGAAAATGAAATACGTGATACTTATCTTCTTCTTTTGTTGGTTGAAATTATCTATGATGACACCAATAAATAAGTTTAGGGTGAAAAATGATCCAAAGATGATAAAGGCAACAAAGTAAATATACATGTACAGGCTTTCTTCATACTTGGGCTGTTTCTCTGCCTACGTAACAGAAAAACAGCAACACATCACAAATAACAGATAAGACAAATCACAGTATACCAAGCAGGAACAGAAGTGGCATCCAGATGGACAGCAACTCTGTCAAGGGGGTAAACTCGACTTTTTTGAAGCATATCCTACACTTGCCTTATATTTCAACTTGAAAATCCATTTAATACAGATATCTGTAACTGCACACACAGACCTGCCATTCTTCCCCTTCCTGTCTGTCCTCTTTAATGACATTTGACATTTCATATGGGTACTGCTAAATTTGACAGAAACGTGCAAATCTTAAAACTCTCAGAAGCAATTCAGTTCCTACAGACTTTATGCAAATCAGGAGTTGGATAGAGGAGAGATGCAAACAAATATCAACATTAAAACAAAACCAGGCAAAATTTAGCCAGATTATTTTTTGACATCATCAGAGTCTGCAGCTATTGCTACTGCAGGGATGCCACTAGACTATTTGGGTTATTTTTGAAGACACAGGTAAAACAATCTCAGTGAGATAAATTAATAGGAAACCAGATCTCATTAGTTTTGAATTTTCAGATGACTTGTTAAATGAGTAATACTTTATGTGGATCTATGGCTATATTTTTTTTTTACCTATTAAAAGTATATGCATTTTGTAGTTCATAGGTTTCTATAGGAAATTTATCAAGGTTTTACATTTTAATTTTTTATATTTTAGTTCATTTCAACTGCCATCCAAGAAGCATTACATCAATCGTATATTTGTTTTCACTCAGTAAATTTTATTTTTACTCAGTAGATTTTATATTGCACTCACTTCTGTAGAATCAACCGCAGCGTACATGATGTCCATCCATCCTTTAAATGTTGCCTAAAAGCAAAATTTGTTGATATTTTCTATCAAAGCTTCAATTTTGCAAACATTCTAAATAAAACTGTCTTTTGCTATGTATTTACACCCACAAAAATAAAGAGAAATATTAAAAGTCTGGTAAGTTACAAGTGAAGCATTCATGGGAAGTACTGTACTGTGGAATACTTCTCCCTAGTTCATAAAACACTGAATAAATTCTAGTCTTCATGGAAATTCATATAAACTCTCTGTGAGGTGAGTTGCAAACAATATCTGAGCCTACGAGAGACTGCAATTTATAACAGGACTCTCAGTTCTAATTTTCTGACTACCAAAAAACTGGAGAACTTCTCCAGAAAAAAAAAGAATCAGCTGCTGAGGTCCCTCAGGTTGGCAACCCCTCTAAGTATCAACTGTACCACTCAACTTGGTTGAGGTTGCAAACCTTTGAGAGACACCACTTATTACTGGTTTCCACTTGGACCAATACTATCTAAGAGCTTCACCAAGGACATGAATAATGGAATTGAGAGCACCCTCAGCAGTTTGCAGATGACACCAAGATAAGCCACTGACTGTAAATCTTCCAACACAGCCATCCAGGCAATTCCTTATCCCCCTAGTGGGCCTTCACCACACTTACTCCTTTGAGCAATGATACTGAGAGCATACAAGGTGTGAATGGTATGTTCACTGCTAACACTACAAAGGTGAACTCTATATGCAAGATATGTTACAAATGCTAAAAGCACTGCCGTTCTCTAAGCAGGTAATTTATGCCTAGTGCTATTTAGCAACAGCTACTGCTACTCCCTGAAGCAATCAGATGATAGCCTGCTAGCACAATACCAACTACTAAATACTACCAGTTGGAAATTTGTAAAGACAGAATAGTTGCCAATTGCTTATGAGCACAAATAAGTTTCCACAAGCATTTTTTCAATATTTTGAATATATATTTCTGTCTTAGTTGCTCCAATTTACAGACGCTGCCTCTAAAAGAGTTTTGTGCTTAGAAATCTAACACTAGTAAATTCTGCAACTGTTCATCTAGAGTTTAAAAACAAGTTAAAACTTTCTCCAAAAAAACTCACTTGGCAATAATAGACAATGACTGGAGTACAACTAGTAATAATAATAAAAAAGAAAGAGTGAGGAAAAAGTGAATTCAAAAGCTTTTTCTAAGGTTTTAGATTTTTAGCAAACTAAATAGTTTGCTCTCTTCTTGTTTGAAGATCAGATGAGCCCTAGAATGTACATGACTACCATGATAAAAATCTTAGTCAATACGCCTTAACAGATAAAGCAAATAAAAGGAAATTAAACCTAGGTCATTTTTTTATCTAGATATTTTAACGAGACACTGTTTTTCTGTAGAACTTGAAAAGGTACTAGCAGCTGGGTGCCAAGGAACTTTATATCCATCAGGTAAATAAGAGATATTCCTCCTCTTCCAAAAAGGCCACAGAACATATCAGATTTTTACCATAAGCAACATTAATTAGCTTCATAGAACAGAATTATAAAATCAAATCCCATATCCATTAATATATTTTAAAATAGCACTGAAAATTATAGAATTAAATGTTACTGCTACAAAAAATAAAGCTGGAAAATTTATACACTTACCACTTGAAGCAGAGAAAGATAACCAATTGCAACATTATCAAAGTTTACTTTCACATTTTTCCACCGAACACCTCCAGTAGTCATGTTCATTTTTTCACACATGCTTTTATTACTGACTTCCTCTGGTGTAAATGTCTCATCATTTGTGGTGTTAACACAGTGATAGAACTTGCCAGCAAACAAATTTACTCCCATGATGCTGAAAACTAGCCAGAAGGTAAGACAAACCAGAAGCACGTTCATAATGGATGGGATTGCTCCAGTAAGAGCATTCACAACCACCTAGGAAATAAAAACAGAAAAAAAAATCCCCATTTTTTAAAAAACAACACAAGGATTAATTTTTCTAAATCAAGAAAAAGATTTTATGTAAAACGTTACATGGAAGTAATGCAAACAGAAAAGGACTAACGCATGTAATACAATCACACATGCTACTGTTGGCCTCGTAAAAAGACATGCAATTCAGTGTTCCTCAATGATTTTATAATTAAGTGTATTATTATGGATTTTTTTTACACATTATTTCTTTTTTTTTTCTTACCCTCATGCCTTCAAAGCGTGACAAAGCTCTTAGAGGTCTCAAAGCTCTTAATGTTCGGAGGGATTTAATTGCACCAAGGTCTGACAAACCAAGGGCATTAGCTATTAAGCTAACCAACGAGACCTGGAGGAAAAAAAAAACAAAACAAAAGAACACTTTTTTACTTTTTTTTTTTTTAGTAACTTCAAAACACAAATACCTCGAGGAGGAAAAACTTTGATCTGGATATTGCGGAAAAAAAGTTTCCAAGGTCCCTAATCTTCCTGCAAGAATAAATAAAAAAAGAACAAAACATGAGAAAAATTCGTGTAACATTGCATGTAAATTTCAGAACAGCTTAAACAAAAAGATAACAATCTCTGGAATTTTCATCACACAGTTCTAGTTAGAAGAATGCATATCATACTTGTGCAAAAGGAAGGGCAATTTGGACAAAAGAATTTGAATAGAAGTTCAGCTTCCCAATAAACTCAGTATATGCTTGAAATGTATTGAAAACTTAATCCTATTCTACATGACATATTACAACACTAAAGAGTGCTTTATTATACTCATGATAAAATGTGAGCCAGCAGTATTTGCTTCTGCTAATTGTATTTAGAATAATCCACAAAATAGCTGGTATACGAAGAACTAGTACTTCATATTGCCTGCTGAAGAAGACAGGCTTGGAAGTGGCATATACTCAGTCAGACATGACTTTAATATGGGTGACTTCTAACTGTATGACACAAAAAAAAATATCAATGTCAATAAGATTATCTAAAAGCAATGCACTTGAATGCATAGGTAGCACTTTCCTGGAAGTGGAGTTACGACAGAGTTAATAATTTAATTGTGAGCTTTGCTTTACCGTCTCTTCAGACTACTGCAATCTGGCTATTTAAAAATCATAATATCAAATACCAGAAGAAAATCTGTTTACCTCCATTTGATAAAGAGCATTGTTTCCTGTGTTTGAACTTCAAAACTGAAGTTAAAAATTTTAAGTCCAAGCGTGATTGAGAAGCTGGCAGATTTGTTTTAGAGTTATCTACCTTAGAGCATTGAAATGAATGAAACAATGGCACATAATAAAATAGACAGACAATGAGGAGAAACTGGCTAATTTTCTTAAAGATAGCATGCAATGGTTTAATATAATCAAAGGTGATTTTTAAAAAAATCAAGATTTAATTTTTGTTTTGTAAATCATACAAACTTGATAAAACCAAATTAACACAGGGAATAACTGCGCAATACATGAAATACAAGTCAGTGATCGCTACCTGTATTTTTGAAATAACCTGTCTAAAACTTCAGATAATTCAGCCACTATAGTAATTATAATTAGGCCATGTGGTTCAAGAGAAGAAAAATTAATTAAACAAAAAAAAAAGGAAAAAAAATTAGGAGAAGATCCAGAAAAATAACACATTCACTGAGTGGAATGACCTTTGTTTATGCCACTAATCTGATTTCCTATACAAACTGAATTATAATACTCAGTTTCAGAAGATTGTGCTCTCTTTAAATTCGAATGCTAGACAAACATTTAGTATAGAAAGCATTAATCCTTATGAATCCATCAAGACCTTAAGATCATTACACCTTCAGACTATAATTCTATGGAAGTTACAGAGAAAATGTTTCAAGTATTCCTGTCAGATAACCATATTTTCTTAGGTAATGCAGTCATTATATTTGCATTACAGGAAAGCCTCTTCCTGCAAGATTAGCGCATCTACTTAACAATGATATAGTTTTATTTCTTTGAAAATTATGACACAATTTAACACATTGCTTTTTTCTGCTTTCCTTTTTTTGGAAGGGAGAAAGTAAGGATAGTTCCCCTCATCACATAGTGCTGAAGGCAATGAAAGCTTAGTTTTTCTGGTACCATCTGTGGATGTGGGTCTATGTGCATACAAGCAATTTCATTTTAAAAAAAATTTCCTCTTCTTCCTTGTGGCTGACCATGGTTTGGACAACGCCTGAATTGTCTTCCACATATAAAATTGCTAAATGTAACATTTCTGCGATGTAAAATTAGCAAACAGCATTATATACTTCCACTGACACAAAGATGTATTGTAGCAAAAAGAAGGGGAAATGTAAAAAAACCACTGCAGTGGTACATGTGAGACAGAATTGCAACCTCAGCTTCATTTCAACTCTCTGCTCTTGTAACTACCAAATACGGCAGGTTACCATAAGATGGAAACATCTTATTTTGGATTTGTTAAACTGTCTCTGTTTTGGATAATTAATGTGCCTTGAGATTTCCTCTTTAACAGTATTACTTTCGAGGAAGAAAGGATTTAATCCACAAAAATTTTTGAAACCTTTGTTACAGCTGGATTAACAGCTCAAAAGCTGATTTTCCTGCCATTTTCTGGTAAAAGTCAATGACTTTTTTCCTCACTGAGTCTTCCATCCCAGATCAGTGTCTCTTGTTGCATTTACACAAGGAAGACTTCTGTAGATTTCTTTCCTTTAAGGGTAGCTCAAGCAAGCTGCCAAATACTATACAATCCCATATTTGTTCTTTTTCGTAAAATCATTTGTACTTGCACATAGAAAGCTGAGCTAAACCAGCATTTGCACTTGTTTTGGGGCTAACTATCCCTTTCTGAAATCACTATGAATAACACAATGGGTAAGAATTTCTGTTTGTATACTCTAAGTTCTTTCCCAAATAGGGAACAGCTGGAAAGTTCAGACTGATAGGTACAGGACAGTTTGCCTAAAAAGAATCCATAAAATGTTGCCTCATTGTGATAATTTAATTTGACTGGTACTAGTATGGCAAATTTATTCAATGTTTAGCTGGATAAAGGCACAAGACAGGAAGATAAAGCAAAGACAGATTCAAGCAGTTGAGGGCAGCATACTGCCTGTTACCTAAACCAGCAGGTAAAACGGCAACAGTAAGAGAAAAAGTTGCTTGCTCCTAGCTGAAAACAATAACAAGTAAATCTGGCAGTAAAGTCAGAAAAAGCTAAGCAGATCACAACTGACTTTAGGGATGAGTTTCCAGTCACACACTGGAAATGGATTGCTAAGTAAGGCATTCTCCGTTCAAAGTTGAGTATCAGCCTGAGCTGTCTAATCTCACTTTGAGGTTCGAGCAAATTGAAACCTCCAAAAGTGCCATCCAACATAAACTGTTATATAATCTGCTATTGCAGGGTCATAAAATGCAGACACTGGAAGCAAAAGATTAAGACAGCTACATGACAGCACTGAAATCACTCAAAAAGGAAGAGCCCGTACCTATCCATATGGAGATATGGTACACTTTATTTGAAAGCATTGATCTTAAACACAATTCAAGATCAATCTTTCCCAATACAGGCTTGTACAGAGATACTAATTCTGAATACTACTTAAGTATTACTTAATTAGTAATACATTTATTTATTTATGTTTAATTTTCTTTCATTTTCACCAATTACAACTCTAATGGATTAAAAAAAAGCAAATTTAAGTATCACAAGGTTCTGGTAACTTTCTGTCTTAGTCTCATTTCCTGTTAGAATTCTAAAGTATTGCATCAACAATTTTATGTGAAGACAACAAAATTGATCTAGATGATTGCTGTTGATTTTCCGCTAATTAAAAAATTGTTATAATTTTTCATTTAAGTTACAATAAAGAAAAATCAGAAGCCAATGGTATTCATAAAGAAAGCTAATAAAAACACATAATACATTCAGCCTTACTCAAAGACAGTCCTAACTTTTTTTCCTTTTGCTTGTTGAGGGTATTTCGCTTTGGATAATTTAATCTTAGGGAAAGGGGATAATCTCTTTACTTTCTAAGTTTCTTACAGATCAATACATCTGTGCTGGGAATATGTGTTGACTTTGTACTTGGTGTAAATTTAATTTGGGTGTTCACAACAGAAGAAGTGGAGAGGATATGAAAGGAGAAAGCAGAAAACTTTCCCAGAAAGATCATGTGTTATCTCATGTCACTGAGCTAGTCCACTTGCTCAGAATGCAGATTCACTAGAAAGAGCAGCACAGTTACACGAGGAAGACAAAAAACACCACTGGTGACCTTCCCTCCAAAAAATCTACCTTAAAAAGAGCATTAGGTAAGCTTCAATTCTACTGGTAGAAGACAAAATTTCTGTCCTAGATTCCAGATACCATCCAATTAACAGAGTTTTCTCTTGTCCACTTGTTGAATTTCCACTCCAATGTCTACGCAAAGAAAAAGAACTCCTTTAAACAAACACATCATGCAATATCACTAATTTAATTAATTTCTTTGGAGTGAAATTTCAACACTAGTTTTTACTGCTATTGTGGAAGAACAATTCTCCCCCACACTTCTTTGCCAGTGACACGTTAAGCTTGGGATCAGCTGTCCTACTGTCCTACTCCATATTCTCACTTTAATTTCTCTTTCCTTCCTGTGTCTGTTTCCTCCTTCTTCTCTGTCACCATATCCAGAAGACTGAAGTCAAACCAGTTGATAGTCCTCACTTACCAGTCAGAATCCAGAGTAGTAAAGCACAGAACACATGGAGTCAATGATGGCACAAGGCCAGATTTAGTTACTCACCACGTAATTACAGTGGAATCTTATTCACAAGTTATGTAATTTTCTGTTCTTTTAAGCAAAATTTATATTATTCACTGTATACATATCATATTGGAGCTACAGAAAAGGATCTGCCTAAACAACAAAAATAGACTACCTAGAAAGTATAGTACCTACATCAACAATCAGGAAGTCCAGCCAGCACCAAGCATTAGTGAAGTAAGTCTGAAAACCATAGGCCACCCATTTTAGCACCATTTCCAGAATAAAGACGTAAGTAAAGATTTTATCAGCATATTCCAGTATGATTTTTACAGTCTTGCGCCGTTCAATATTTATATCTTCAAAGGCCTGTGAAGAATGGTTATATGTAAGTCAGATATCGAAAAGTCTTTGCAAATTACAAATTAAGCCAGAACTGAATTAAAACAGCAAAGCAGAATCACTTTCAACTTGAGATATTTTACCTTGAAAAACCAGTATGAGTAGAAACTACAATCGCATTCTGAGTTTTAGATTTTATCATTGTCTGATAATGGAATTACAAAAGAATGTCTGAAGTTGCCAAAAAAGTTTTTAGAAATTTCAGTAATATTCAACGCAGAATTATGATTTGTCACCCTGAAAAGCCCAGTCAGGTTCAGTCAGGAGGCAGTCTCATCATTATATTAACTCCAATTAACCAAAGAGAATAATGAGCTACAGAGACCAAATATTATGTTGCTGACAATCTTTGCTGAACAAGGTGCTGATGGCAAGGTTTTAGTAGTGGAGGTTGTAGGTGTGGCCACTGTGAGAAGAGAGCAGGGGGCTGCTTTGTGCTGGCTCCAGCATGGACCCAACACTGGAAGCAGCTGAGCCCAACAGTAAAGCTGGTGGTGCCTCTGGATTGCAAAACATCACATGGCAGTATGAGGATTGAAGGGAAAAAGTGAGAGAAACTACCCTCTAAACATCAAGGGCAGAGACGGAAGGGACATGGTGCTTTAGGTGTTGGAGCTGAGACAATGACAGTATATACCAAATCCTATGTCAATCAACAACCAAAACAAGTCCAAACTGTGTGAAGGACTAAATGTCACTAAGAACAGTATAAAGGAATTCAAGAATTCCTATGTAACAGACTAGAAATACTGAAACTAAAATGATAGTAAAAAAATAATGAGAGCATGATGAATTTAGTATCTATACTGCTTTTGGGGACAATTTTAATTTGAAGTAGAAAAATTGCTTCCTTTATTGCACACAATCCATTTTTCATTATTTTTATAATTTCTTAAAGAAGGTGTTTATCATAATACTTTTCATAAACACACATACATTACCTTGTATCATACATTACCTTGTATTAATCAAAAATTCACCTGCAAAATTTTAATGACTTATTTAAATGTAATACCTGAAGTAATCTGAGAATTCAGGTCCAAGTTCTCTTTCAAGACAACTTTGTATTTTTTTCTTAATGAACACATGTTATAATACTGCCTTTGATAACACATTTTAATAGGTACCATTCCTATGGCTGCAAGCTTGACTTACCAGAGCTCCACTGCTGAGAAGAATCATGAAGACAATGAATGTTTCAAACCAGTTGTGTTCTACTATCTTGTAACAGGTTTTTCGAAGGTTCCACCAGATTCTTCCTTTTGTGCTTTCCATACTGCCTTTACAGCATTTAAACTTCCGTATACAGCCTAACAGTACAAAAAATATTTTTATATGGTAAAATTTTTATTATTCTGAAAAATCAAATGATTCTTAACTAGCTCCTGTTTCAAGAAGTTCAAATTACTTCACTCTGCACTTCAAATTACTGCATGCTACTTAAAGCATACATAGTTTTCTCAATTTTATTCTTTGGATGTAGGAAAATTTGCACGTACACAATTTTTTCTCTACTCTGATGCTAGCTACATCAAGCTTATAATAAAAGAGAGTAATCTAATTGAGCTAATTTTCATTTATAAACATTTTTTAAATTATTTTCAACTTATATACAGATAATCAAAGAACACAGGAGAAATATCAGGGAGCAGAAAAGAAGAGCATACACAGCAACTTTCACATGAACTAGTTCAACAGTACAGAAGCTTCTTTTAAAAGAAATTTTGCTTCTCAGCTAAGGTTCAAATAAATCAGACATAAACATTAATTTATTACACTGAGGAAAAACTGCTGCTTCAAGGGCTAACTAAGGATACCTCTTTCATGACATAAACAAATGGTTTAACTGGAGACTGTGAGAGCTTTCCCATGTGATACAGATTTGTGGCAACTTCCACACAACCATCCACATCTACCATGGGGTCTAGAGGCATCATTTTCAATGAATATCAGTATCTGCTTAGCCAATCTGCTTAGCCTCCTGAATTCTTTAAAAATTATTAACAACATAAAAACGTAAAGAGATTGAAACTACTTTAATGGGTCCCAAATGCATTCTGGGTTTCCTGTGAGTGTCATTAAGTTGATATGTTACAAGTAAGTAAGTTACACTATGTTTCATCAGCTCAGATAAAAAACCTACCACTGTGAAGAACATGGTTAACCTCACCTTCAACTAGCCAAAATGCTTACATTATGAAAAAAATAATCTTATGCCCAAGCACTGATAGATATCACATAATAAAAGGATAAGGAAGAATTGTAATATAATGTTAAATTATTTGAGAAATGCAGTTTTTTTTTAAATTAAGAGCTTGATATAGTCAATGCAATCCCACATTTAAAAACAATTTTGTTTTTTTAAAGATGAGTAAAAGAATACTTCAAAGGATAAGATTCCTAGCCTAAATCAAAGGTGTCTTCAAAATAGTAAATCAGAAACCATGGACAGGAGATTTAATGCCGGAACATATTTTGTTTTGAATTATTTTACCCACGACTTAAAAGGAAATTAAAATCTTAATATCGCAAAAACTGAAAATTCTTTCCTACATCGTAAATTTCAGTAGTCCCCGAAAGGATATAGCTATACAGAAATAAAATGAATAAAAACTTCTAAGGACATTCAAGTACACTGTTAAGACTCCTTTACTTAAATAGCACCACAGGATCTCATTCACCTGTTGCATCCCACATTATATTTATGCGTCCTCTCACTCCATTAATAGTATAATGTCAAGATAATAACTATTGTTTGAGTCAAACTTTCCAAAATCTGAATCACCCACTGGATTGCTTTCTAGCACTAAAAAGTGACTGTGAGTAATCACATGACTATGGTTTAAATTTCTCAGTGAAGTGAACCTTGTGGAGGGCTTGGTCTTGCAGATTTCACTACTGACAATGTAATTCAAATCAACAGAATCAGTTTATAGAATTCTGCCTATTGATTATTTTAAAATATCATAAGTGATCACATACACACATATTTATCTTTGCATCACACAAATGGCTCCACGGACTTCAGCACAACTATCTACAAAAGACAAAATTAATCATATCCTAAGACTTGACAAATTAGAATCCAGGGCTGCTGTAGCCAATATCTTCCTTGAACTGCAAACAAGCAAAATGTAATTTCTAACCCCAATTTTTATTTCCATACCTTCTGTAAAGCAGTCCTGTAGTTCTGATGCTTTTTCTGGTTCAGTTTCAGCTATTTCATCTCCAAAGACAGCTAAATTAACTGTACTTCCTTCAGATGAGCTGGAAAAATTTAACTTCTGAAAATAAAATTCGATAACATTTTTACTTTACTAATATTTACATTTTTAGAACTGTAATTAACTTTAGGCATGCAACACTGTGTACCAGTAATAATAAGAACAATATTTGTCACCAGAAATACACACAAACACCCACGTGTAGCAGTCAATGCTGTTGAAATGTGCATAAATCATCCACTTTCTACCCAGATATTGCAAGACATATCATGTAATTTTCCATGAAATTTCAGAATTTCTAGTCTAAATATAGTACAGTGTGATCATTCATCAGATGATTTGCTGATACATATTCTATTTATTTTGTTTTCTACTATTACTTTCTTATACATTTCAACTGGCATTAATTTGCATTCTTTTTTGCCAATGCACATATGTAGTACATTGTGCATTCTGAAACTACCCATTACTCTGGTACACATACCTGTACAGTCAACACCCAGGAATTATTTTTTTTTTTGTTTTAATAATTAAAATTACAAAAGTCACATTAGTAGAAAAAAAAACAAAACCCAAAACCAAACTAAAACAAACAAAAAACCCCAAAACAACTCAAACAAACAAAAACAATTAAAAAACCTCCCCCAACCAATAAAAGAATAAACCTTAATTTATTTTTTTATTTTTTAATCTGCCCATGTATTGCAAAGTCTGTAGTCTGGAGATTTTAAAGGAAGATGTGGTGTCCTGTACACTTAATCTCAAGTATGAGTACCAAACTAAGTCAAAGTAGTTTTGGCCACAGCATTCTCTGACATTTTATAATGTTATTATCAAGAAGTATAAAACATCAGTAATGAAGTCACACAAGTAAATGTCTGTAAGGAATGATGTAAGCACACTTTATAAAATAACCTTGGTTTTGTCAAATCAACACCATTTTCATTAATTTAGCTAGACTTGCATGATTAAGAGATACTTAAGATACAAAAGCAGACAAGTTACTATCCAATCAAGTTGTATTTACGGCTCAATTGTGAAACACAAAAGGAGAAAATTATTTTCAGTATTAAACAATTTTTTCATGTTTTTGAAAGACAGAGACAATACAATAAGTAACTCAATATTCTGCATTTACTTTTATTTAAAAAGGTTTTGTTATATTGCCTACTTTGCTGCTACTTTTTTAAAAACTGATTATCTGGAATAGAAGGCCCATATTGCTCATGTCTACTGTAAACATGTCTCGTCATTTTTAGTACCATTAATTTTACAATAGCAATATTCACAGCAAACAACTATTCCTATCTAATTCTTCTGAACCGGAGGATAGCACTATATGCTCTTCATAATTTTATTAATATGCTGCTTTCATCATTCCATGACATAGCATATATATTGCAAAATGTTGCAGCGGTGGTGGGTAAACTGAAATTCTAAATTGAATTATAAATCAAATTATTAATTTTAAAAAATATATTTTTTAAGAGTACAGAAGTTTTGTGTCATATTGCTAATAAAAATTAAAACAAACACGAAGTACACTGGGTCATTTTAACTGTAAGCTTAGTGAACTGTCTGAGCAGATGACATGAATTCAACTGAAAGAATATGAGATGAACAACCATAAATACAAAAGGAACTGAAAAGAATCAATGTGTTTGGAACAAAAAGTTACATATCTCCTCTAACTCACAGTAGAAGAATCAGAGACTAGATATTTTGTTAAATTTAGTTTTAATTAAGAATAGTAATTTTCTTGACTCTAGAATCAGAGATTCCATGAACTATTTTCCAGGTAGTCTGGTTAGTGACTTTGTCACTACTGTGACAGTCTTTCACTAATGTGAAAGTCTGTTTTCTATGGACAGTATAGGATATAATCCTACTGCTTGAAGAGTAACAGATTTAATTAAACATTGGTTCTCTTTTTTATGTAGGGTACCCATATTTTTCACTAAGATGCAGTTATCAAACAACAAAAACAGAAACAGAAAGAGATCATAAAAATAATATGCATAGAAGAGCTTCCTGTTCTAATTAAAAATTTGAAAGCTAGTTTCTTTGCTATTTACAAAGTTTGCAGAAATCTAACTGATTATAGGAATCACTCCAGGAGGGGGACTTTTAGGAAAGACAGAAATGTTCATCCTTTACCTTCTGGGGAATTAGCTGCTGCTCAGTTTACCAGACTGAGGTAAGAAGGCCATATTGTATGTACACTAAGCACTGGATTGAATGGATTAACTGACATACTCAAGTTGATTAGTGATCTTAATGTTTGCAAAGAATCACTAAATCATTTTTGTTACAGAAAATTCCCTCAATACAATATCCTTTTTCTTTTTCACTGTTGGCAGTGAAAAGCTATTCAGATTTTGAATACTTTAATTTTTTCAATATAAATATCTCCTGTTCTGTTTTAAGGTCATAATTTGATGCTTATGATCTGGCTGTATTTCTGAAGGATTCAAGGTATAATGGCACAAATATTTGCAAGAAAAATGTTACTACTACTACTACAAATTGTTCCACTGAAGCTCCAAAGCAAAGAACAAACATATCAGCAATACAGTTGTTAAGAGGAGGAATAAGAGGGAAAGATTGTCTTGCGTAATTAAAAAAAAAAAACACAAAACCCCAACTCACTGGATGACTGCACTGCATACTCTCATATTTCCATTAACTAAGGATCTCTCTCTCTTTTGCTTTTTAATTTAAGATCACCAAGTCTCTTTTTGCTGAAGAAGAGGTAAAGCACTACAGTAAAACGTGAAAGACAATTGCTGATAACAGTGCTTTGGAGAACATGGTTAGCAACCTCTTAGAAAAGAGGATCCAAAAATATTACTATGTAGAAACATAAGAGAAAGCACCAGTGTTGGATCTTTTGATATTCCATCCATTGGCTATCTGCCTAGTCAATCAGATCTATTTTTAACAGGAAATACTTCAGTTAAAAAAACCCCTCATTTTTCCATTTACTGTCAACTATTAATTAAACAACAAAAAGTACACAAAGCACATTTTTTGTAATCATCATGTTGAATTATCACTGAGTAGGGTACTCTTCAGCATAATCACAGTTAGTAAAGTCACTTTTATTGGGATCTTTTCCTGAAAGAATAAAAATAACCATGTCTACAGTTAAAGTGTACCTTTTAAAGAAAGCAGAAGATTCTCCATAGAAAATACTTTTTTTTCAACAAACTAAACTCAAAACCTACTGCTCCTACTCTGTAACTTAGGAAAAAATTGGCATGTGTATCTATTAAAAAAAGCATCATGTTATTATGCAATGAAGGGTAAGTAAGACAAAGTGATATTCAGATGATTACAAGCTCCTGCTTTACTGGTTTGTGTGCTGCTCTGCACTTGTCTAATTTCATATCAGCAGAAGCTTGAAGCAGGACCAGTGTCACATAAACAATATCCATCAAATGAGACTAATTCCCCCACACTTGGGACCACTAGGATGGGATACTACCACATTCTTCTCTCCCCTGTGTAAGTGCCTTTTCTAAAATGGTTTGGAAAAATCCTTACAAAGACATTTTAACATTTCTTCTTTCTGAACAGCTTACAGGCCCCTCTTGAACAAAAAAAGTGAGGCCTAAATCTTTCCAATATATAAAACAGTGCCAAAGAATACACACAGAAAAAAATGCAGGATTCCACAACAAAACCATGTAAACAAAATTTGTATTTGGAAAAGGAATACCTCAATATGACAAAGAGAGGAAGAGCCCAACTATTCAGAAGAGATCATCAGGAATAAGAAATACATAACTTGGTACAATTAAGGTTTGTTTTATAGTTCTGGAGTTCCTGAATTTAGAGATTTGGTAGGCTATTAGTTCGTATTTCATCTATTTAACAATTGTCTTACTTTTACTCATATTCCGGATTTTCCTATTTTTATATTTCTTCTTTGTTTGAACTTCCTTATTTATATAGTTATAAAAACCCCAGATATATTTAGACAGCTACACAGAAATCTACACAGAACTTTTGATTGAAATTATGTTTTAGGTCTATCTTGATAAAAATTAAGCAACTGGATTAAGTTCACAGAGAAACAATTACTGACAATGAAGAACAAAACTTTCATAAATGATGCCCTAACTTCCAATCTTACAGACATATACAAACTTTGTGAGTAGTTTGTATCATTACATCCATATCCAAAGAACTATGCATATGTATAAAAAAAAGTTTGATTATCCCTAGAAGTGTATCTTTCATCCTATATTTTAGCTTCTCTTATATGAGAAAACTGGAATGCAAATTATAAAAACACTGTGAATAAACACAAAACAATTTATATCAAAGATATAAACACTTTAGCATACAGGTAACTGTATATATGTAATATTACAGAGGCACTGGTCAAATGAACATGCTCAGAAAATGTTCATAATTACACGACAGCTAAAAACATGGTACAAGAGATGACAGAAAACATTATGAGGACTATTCATTTTCATAAAATCATAGGTTGTTAACCTCTTTTAACCTTGAAGTCTTAACGCTTAATAATTCAGTTAACAATAATAAAAACCTACAAAGCATGCAGGTTATGCCACAGAAGTAGTACAGAAAATACCAAAGATGTAACAAGGAGAGAAGAACATGTTGGTGTTGCCCTCAGTCATGCTGTGATGTGGGTCACGGGGCTCAGCTTACAGAGCAGCTCTGTATGTTTCCACTACATTGCAACATATGGGGAAAAATATATTGTAGCTGAGTAGCATGCAGGCCAATCAATCTCAAAAATGACCATATATGTATGATTTGTTCAGGTAACCTGTGTAAACATGCTGACACGTTGCTCTGCCTGGTTAAAAAGCACCAGATCTGCATTCGCCACTGATCCAGCTTTATTTCACTCCTGTGAGAAGTAAGAATGGTACGCAATGATGTTAAAACATGGTACCCTTTACGTTGTTTGAGTGCTGGAAACAGAAGTGTGGATTCCAACTGAGTAAAAAATGTGTTTTCTAGATATGACACACATTTGCAAAACATCACATTTATAGCTGTGGATTAGAGCTTTAAGCATACACAAAGATATAATGGAAGAGGTAAGATTAGCAGAACATCCTAGAGGTATACTGGACTTGGGCCTGAACATAAAAAACACCCCACAGAAAAACCCACCAAACCACCACCAAAAATCCTTTCATCCTCAAATTCCCCTCCTCCAAAAAAAAAAGCCCCAAACAAAAAAGACAGACAGATACACCCACGCTGTGTATACTACAAGTTTAAGCATCCTTTAAATAGTAGTAACTAGACCTTTAAAATGACAGAAATTTATTTCTCCTTGCATTTCGTTTTCAAGGTTATTCCTGGTCTTCACTAGGTGCTAAATATGTATCTACTGTAACTTTCAGAAAGAAGCTGCGGGCAAAACAAAACAAAAAGTAAATCATACCATGTCCAACATGAAAACTTCTGCATAAGCAATTTTTCCCACAAACATTAGGTTTAACTGCATGACTTTAAAAAAAAAGTTTCAAACAGTTTAAGGTGCATTATGGATTGCAGCAGACATAGAGCAATCAAAAACAAAATCCCACGCCTAACAATAAATCTGTAATTTCCTCAGGTATCTCAGACCTATCTTTTATTAGTCTTCTGTTATAAATCTAATCTCACTTCTCACCAATAACTTCTCAAAGGCTTATCAAATAATGTAGCTATCTAATAACTCCAACATAGACTGCTCCCATTCAAAGGGAAAGTCTGAAAGGAAGAGCTGAAATAATCTACAAAACAAAAGACAATTTCCTTGCTGACTATGAACTAGTTTACATGAAATAGTTTTTCGTTGTTAGTTTATGTATTTCCTATGGTTGTCTTTCAACTATACCAATACTCAGCCACTTCTCCAAATTTGAGTGTGTTAAAATTAATACTAGATAACAGTATCATATAAACAGCTAATACTTACGTTTCATCTTCAGAAATATATCACAGGTGAGGAGACAGATTTTGTCACCCAATACTTAAATATAAAATAGTGAAGAATGAGGTGTCTTCAATTGAAGAATATTTTCCAGGTAAGAGTCAGATTTAACACAGTTATCAGAGCAAGAGTAGATTACCTGGGTTCATCAAATATTCCTTTCACAAAACCAAATTTTATTAAAACACTAAGAAGTCCAGTATCCTTTGGTCAGATTTTTAAGGAATTTATGAATATTATTTGCTTTGCTTTAAAGAGGTCTCTTAGTAATCTACAGTCTTCTCAACCGAGTGGTCAATATAATACATGAAGCAGTGAAATCTCCAAAAAGTAGGTGGAACAAATTAAGCATCAGAAAACAAGCTGGTGAAATAGCAAAAATAAGTGTAATACTAATGAACACTGCACTCTACAATAAAAGAAACACCTAAAGAGTACCTTATTACACCTTCCTAAATGTAATTTCACTACACTTTTCTAGAACAAACTTATTTTCTACAATTTCGAAATGATATGGTCAAATTAATTACCCATTCAAAACAAAACAACTAAAAACCTAAAAAGCTGAAAACCAATCAAAACCCCTCCAAACCAATCAACTGAACTCCCAAAAAACAACAAACAAACAAACACACACCCCTCCATCCCCCACCAAAATCCAAAACAATCCAGGCTGGAGTACAGCTGTCTACACAATCAGTGGTACTCTATTAATGTTCTGGTGTCTTCACATGCCAGGGGTATTGATGCTAGACACAGTCTGCTCTTGAGCCACAGATTGCTATCTGAATTTTCATTGTCTCTCAGGATCCTGCTGAAATCCATAATTTTGCTTTTCCCCCTCAGTCTGCAGTTGCTGACCAAGTTTAAAGCCAGGCAGTTGTCTTTGAAGTGACTGGTTCAAAACTCCCACAAGCAAGCAAGAAATCAATATTTTTTCATTCAGTAATTCTACTTTTTCTCAGCAGTTTTTAATTGATGTATTCACCTTATAATACTAACATTGTTCCCTTGGTTCTTCCCCATCATTTTAACCTCAGAACTCGAAAATTGTTGTTACTGCTCTCAGTAGCCTGAGTTAGCACCTCTGTTAAGTTTATCCAGTAAAAGTAATGTTGATTTTCCTAAAAGGGTATTCATATTCTTTGTTAATATCTTCTCTAATATTTTTAAATAGCAATTTACTTTCATCCTTCCTTCACAGAAATATTACAGTTACATAAAAAACCCAGTCTTTTAACTGTTTATGCTGTACATATATACTAGTTTGTCTATTTAACCAACAATTTGTAAGAGATTGTTTTTTCAAAAATCTTTTTATAAATGGGTTCATGTATGGTCATACAGTTCTGCCTGGATTTCCTGCCCCCTTGAGCTCCACTTGCCCAATTCAATTTATTCACTCTCAGCACAGTCCAACAATCTCAAATTACAACTGTTTTGCATTCCTCAGCAGGAAGATTCATACAAAGAAACAATACAACTGGTATAATTAGCTCATACAAAAAAATAAAATATTTAAATTTTACCTCCTTGCTTTCTTCCAAATCTGAGTCACTGCTAAACTCTTCTGTGTTTAGATGTTCAAAATCAGACTCTCCATCAGCTATTGGTACTGTAACAGTAAGGCTTGGGTTGTTTATGAATGATGTATAATCATTGCCACCTATAACAGTGGCCATTCCATTCTCATTTTTGTGATAATTCGTATCTATCCTTATTTCAGCGATGGTACAGTTGGAAATGCAGTGGTGTCTCTCATCATTCAACTGATCTGTTGCTGTTCTTTGATTTACAACAGCTTGTTTTCCCAAACAAGACTTTTGGACACATTCACCTGCTTTTTTCTTCAGATAATCTATTCCCTTCTGAATTCTTGCAACAGCAATCTGCAAGTTGTTCATTTCATTATCATCCTCTGTAGCAGCAAGATTGTCTGAACTAAATGAACTCAGCAGCAAGGCCAGAAAAAGGTTCAATACCTAATTTCAAAAAAAAAAAAAAAAGACAACAGAGATTAATTTCTTCAGTTGTCATTCACATGCTTCTCACGAACACACTACGAACATAGGTTTCATGCTTTCCTTCACAGTATAAGATTCTGGAAATTACACAGAAAATAAAATGCAAATGTAATTTAAGCACAACACCTGCCCTATACCTCTACACAGGGGGTTTTGTGGTTTTACACTGCTGAAACTTGTAAATTCTTTTTCTGCTCAGGCTTGTACAAGGTCAGAAATGAAGGATTCTTTGGTTCTGCCTGAACAGATTCAACATATTTACTGCTCTGGCAAAGCAAAGCACTCTGCAACAGAAGACACAATTGATCTGTGCAGAAAACACATTTCCTACATGCTGGTCCAAACTCACACAAATATTTTGCTGAGTGCGACTTAAAAAATGAGGAATGCACTCTGTTTTCTAACCCCAAGTCATCCTCTTCCCACAGCTAGACAAAACATAGAACATGTATCGGTTATGTGAGCCCAGGGTCTCCCAGGAACTCGAATGCCAAAGCAGCAGAGTACCAGCTCTTGAAATCTTCAAATCAGTTTTTCTATCAGCCTGGAAGACAACGGGTAAAACTACGTGTTGGGAACACAGAAAGATTAATGGATAAAACAGCCTTGAACATACAGCAGGCATGTCTGCTCATGTAAGAAATTCTACCAGTGCTATGGAGTAAAATCCAAATACAGTAAATACTGTGGGACAATTCACAGAGGTGGATACTTCATTGCACAAAGTTCTAACTTCTGGTTTAGAAAACTACTTAAGGAGGAAGTTTTCTTTGGTCAAAAAGCTTCACAGTTCAATCCATTATAAGACAATAGATTTGTAGAAAATACTGAAGCAAATGGCTATGCAACTAGAAGCAATGCACACCTGGTTTAAAGATAATTAACTTATTCCTGTTAGAAATTTTATTTATAGAGAATGCTTTCAGGATGGTCAATTTAAAATCCCTTCTGCTACTGCAAGTTGCGTAAAGAAGAGATGTAGAATAACATAGGAAGACTCAGAAGGCAATAAGAAAAGCAGAGGAAAAGGCAGAGCAATTAAAGTCTTAAATACTGGTGAGTTAATAAATATAAAACTTATTTAAAAAGAGAACTGTATACACATATTGGTACAATCTGATGCAGGTATGATGCTTTCCTCTGGAGAAAAACAAAAGCAGATATAATGCAACTACTTTAAAAGTATCTGTAAAGAGCACAGAAGAGGAAGCAAAAAGGTGAAGAAGTGGAAGAAAGGCTGAAGTAATCCAATCTGGTTATGTTCTGCATAACAACTGCCTTCTAATTCAAGTTTCTTTATACCACTTGTGTAAAGTACTGGCTATGCAACAAGGAGGTCTCAAAATGGCATACATTTCAGAGTCTTATGAATGTTAAAGTAGTCTTTTCGACAGGAGAGAGTAGAAAATGGTAAAAAAAGTACCCCTAATAACCTGGCTATGTGTGATTGGAAGTGATGCTTCAATCAGGTAGGGAGGCACGCCCTGCTATGTCCTCTTCTGCAAACAGCAAACTCCCATCCTAGAAGCCTAACACTTGGGGTGCCTTTATTCTTCTCTCCCTCTCTAAGTAACCAGTAGTCCACAAAAACCTGAACATATGGTGCTGCACTCTCTCATCCGTATCTGAATTCCACTCCAGACCCCCGAGGGGGGCCATCCTCCAAGCTGAGGATTCTACAGAGGATCAGAAATCTAACAAAGAGAAAACTCTATTTCAGAATCCATACTCATAACAAATTCAAAATCATGAAAAACATATTTAAAATCCCCATTTAATAATTTTTAGAAAAACAGTTACTGGTTCTGCTACCATTCTTTTTCTAAATGAATTCTAAAATTATTTTGGCTACATACCACCAGGTTTCCAATCACCATGACCATCATGAAGACTGTAATGCACATGGCTTGGCCAGCAACCTCCATGCAGTCCCACATTGTTTCTATCCACTCTCCACACAGCACTCGGAATACAATCAGGAAAGAGTGGAAAAAATCATGCATGTGCCAGCGTGGAAGTTCACAATTATCAGAGATCTTGCAGACACAATCTTTGTAGTGTTTCCCAAAGAGCTGCATCCCAACCACAGCGAAAATGAACACAATGATTGTCAGCACCAGGGTCAGATTGCCCAGAGCCCCCACTGAGTTGCCCATAATCTTAATCAGCATATTTAGAGTTGGCCAAGATTTTGCCAACTTGAAAACTCGCAACTGAAAAACAAAAATACAGAAGTATTATTTGCAGTAGTTAAAAAATTCTATAGAAACAGCAATATATTATAAACTAGCAATTCTCAGCAATAGCAAAAAGTAGAAACTTCAACATGATTCCAACAACTATAACTTACACAGAGCCAGGAGTTTCATAAAATACACATTTTTAAAACCTAATAAATTTTAGACTTTGCTTTTTTGTGGTTTACTTTGTTTTTGGTTTTTTTGGTAGTATATCTGTATTCTCTTACTCAAGAAAAAAATAGAACAGGGATTGTATTTGTTCAGACAGTGAATTCTAAACATGGCATAAATCTCAACCATTATGTGCAGAAATGAATTAAAAAAATAATAAAGCTCAACAGAATTCTACTGACAGAAAAAAAAGGATTCTGAAATCCTCAAAGAATGAGGTATTCCAAAAGAATATTGCCTCCAATAAATTAAAAAAAGATCAGACACACCCACTGTCCGGAAATAAAAGCAAAACACAATATGCAAGTCAAACATTTCAACTTATGAAGTAGAAAAAGTGTAATTCATATTCTTTCTTACCCATAACCCACTCAAAATAAAAATGCATTAAATATTTTTTGTTTTCAGATAAAAGAAAAATAGAAATGCAAAATGGAAACAGAACACAAGGAAAGCATGTCTCACACATCATTTCTCATTTTTAAAACAAAAATATTTTTCTAATAAAATAAAACTTTTTTTTTTCTAAGGGGAAAAGAAAAATCAATCTTTTTGAATTTTTTCAAAACCATGAATTTTATAATTTCTACATTTGAAAAGAACACCTCTAGCCTCTTTGCTATTTCCACATATGGAAGTTAACAAGACTAGAAGAGTTTTATTTATATCTCTCAATACACACTTAAAAAATTATACATTTCATTGAGCTTTACCCATCCATGTTAAAACAATTATAATAAAATTACAGCTTAAAACAGTATTTAGTTGCTTCTGAACCATAAAGTGGCTCACAGTATTTAATGACAGCAGAAATAATTTTGTAAAACATGCTTGCAGAGATATCCTGTGACACTTAGTAAAAAATACACATAATACTAAAAAGGGTCTTATTTTTATGAGTACAGTTGAAATACAAATATAATTCATTCATTAATGCAGATATATTATTTACCAATCTGAATGATCGGAGAACAGATAATCCATCCACATTTGACAGAAAAAGCTCCACCAAACTAAGAGTAACTATAAAACTATCAAAAATATTCCAGCCAACTTGGAAATAATAAAAAGGATGCATGGCAATTATCTTGAGAACCATTTCTGCTGCAAAAATTCCAGTAAAAACCTGAAGAAAGAATGTTTATTGTTACTTTATAGATAAACATTAATAAGTTGAACCAGCAGATAAAGAACAACTTAAGTAAGAAGTAGCATCCCTCTTACAGCAGGATGTCAGTAAGGAAAATCATAACAAGCTGAAGCCCACAGAGAAGGTAAGTGGCAACATCAAAATGAGCTGTAGCATAAACCCATAATTTCAGTTAAACCTGGGACACGTTTAGTGACTACCAAAGAACAAACTGTTCCTAACAGGCCTCCGGTTTGCTCCTCATACCTGCTGTCCATCTAATTAAAGGAACTTTTCTCATCAAGATAATTAACAGTTGCTCTTGACAAATGGAAGCTGCTTTAACAAAGGAGTGTGGAAAAATGTGAATTGGTCACAAATTGGAGTGATGTGCTATTAATGAAGTCTACATAGGAACTCAGAGATAAGCACATAATCTCTTTCTATCTGCCAAAAAAAACATCAGTTGTGTGAAGGGTCATGTTTGAAGTAAAACTCCTTTCTGATTCTGAATGTCTCTGATGTCTTCTGAAGCAGCAGGCAAAAAACATCTCTGAAATAAATTCATTGTATTTACTGTAGATGTATGATCACCAGTATCTACAAAACTGCATAAATTACTATCTTTTACTAGAAAGATGAGCAAACTTTAAAAAATTCAGAAGCATTCTTTAAAAGGTCCAAAAAGCAAAAAAGCAACCACTGAAACTACATCAGCATTATAGTGACATTTTAGCTGACTGGGAGCACGCACAAATTCTTAGCACTAAGGAACAGTTATACTCACACAGCTCAAGTTACTGCATTACATGGGAAAGGAAAAAATGGGAGTCTTCTGGGTGAAACATGCAGCCACGATCACAAAACCTCACCAAACCCAACCTACAGACTCTGTCTACTGGGGAACAAAACCCAATGGTATCAAGATACTCTTACAAGTCATATATTCTTTGCCTTGCAATTGTTATGGACCAATCAAATAAACATTCTTCATGAAAATACAACATCAATACACAAAAATAGCAGTGAAAAATAATAATCCAAAATAGCATTCAACTTTTCTTCTGTTATCAATGGTGCCTATAGTTAAAAAAATCTAATTTGGCTCCTACTTTATTTTTGTGATACTAAACAAAAACAAGCCATATTTCTTTCAGTTTTGTGTCATTCAAACTCTGGTTGTTGAAAAGTGTATTTGAAGAAATTTTAATACAGAAATCAAACTTACATACAACATATCTCAAATGGTATAATTAAACCCTTAACATTTATTTTATGAGACGATAAAATTAATAAAAGCAATTCTATTTCAAAGAGAAACCAAGTTCCAATTGTATCAAATTACACAGATTGAAGGACTTACCTGATTTCCTATTTTAAGCACATTCTCAAAATCTTCAGTCATTGGATAATGTTCCATGGCCATAAATAGTGTGTTTAAAACTATGCAAACAGTGATAGCCAGATCAACAAGTGGATCCATTACAATAAATGCCACTACACTCTTTACTTTTAACCAGAGCTCACAACAATCCCAAATTAAGAAAGTGTTAGCAAACTTGCACCAGCAAGGTGGACATTTTTGTCTGGATCCTTCAAGTTCTGGGGAAAAAAAGAAACTTATAGTGAGGAAGTTTTGGAGAAAGTGAAGATAATTTTTAGCTTTTTCAAGTTTTAATCTTTATACCTGAAACCACCAAGGATGTTCATAGGAACCTCCTCAGATTTCCAGGAATTTAACCTATTGTTTTCTGGTTGAAAAGGTTTTAGAAGATTAAAAGAAAAACCTTAAGAGTTTTGAGCTAATAATTGAAATACTTGTTTATTTTTAATATTATATAATCTTGTTTCAACAAAACCCCAAAACATCAAAAAATCCCTATACTTACGTTTAGGGATTTTTTTTTTTCAGTTATACTTTCAACTTCACAGTCCTCTCAAACATCTAATTATTTATTTTCAGGAAAATAATGAGCCTAATTTCATCCTAAATAGGTTTTTGGAAATTATTCACGCTTTTTTCAAGATTTTCACTAGTAATCATTCCAGATAATCCTACTAAAAATTTCCTTCTCCTTATTAACTAAGGCCTGGTCTTTAATTTTCTGTAATATTTTTACAGTACAGATAGAGGAAAAGTTATCAGAAGGTTTCTTCAAATAACTGCATTGCTAAACATTAATAAATAGTATAAAACATATACACATTATCTATTTTAATTACAGTGTGTTTTTTGCTTTAGCCTGCTTATCAGATTCTTCTCCTTCCTTTTTCATTACATACACGCATTTTTTTCTACTTTTCAATTTATTTTTTGTCTTCTGTATTTGCACTGTGATATAATACCTTCAAGCAAGTCTATGTCAAGAAAGTTCACGTATCTGCAGTTATAACACACCTTCCATTGTATTTGTGATAATGTCAGCTATACTCATGGCCCTTTGCCTTACATTGGGATCCTCCAGCAACTCCACTGGTATTTGATATGAACTTGTACGCCTGGTTTTTATTTCTCTTTCTGTAGCAGTGCTCTATTTAAAAAAAAAAAAAAAAAAAAAAGAAGAGGGTGTAAATTAAATTCAACTTAGAAATACCATGGGTTTTTCAAACTGCTATTTTCATGCTGTACTTCTAAATGCTGTTAATACTTACAAAGCATTAAAAAAAAATTGGATATTTAGTTTCAATATTACCAATGCATTATAGTTAAATACTATTAATTCCACACTGGATACAAACAAATTTTGGAGGGGGTCACAGCCAAGGAAACAAAGCAAGACTGCTGCAGCACTGGAGTCGAAAAACTCCCATTTGCTAATTACACATTTTCTCTACCAATATTTCACTTTAGTTCATTCACAAGATACTTACAGCAAGCTACTAATGGTAGGAAGCTTTCTGCCGCAACAATTATTCCATAAATTGGTTTTAATAGATGAGAATTGATCTTTGTACCCATTCAAAACTTATTTAAATTATATTTTCTACACTGAATAGCTACCAGTTCTGATTTATTCTATGAATTTCAACTGAAGAAACAAGTAAGTCTGACAAAAATGAACACTTGTTTTACAATATTTTATTAAAAAAAATGAAAGCTGTGTTGTAGTTTTATTATTGAAGAAGTTTTAAATGCATGAGAATGGGTAGATTTTTTTTTCAGTAAATTAAATAAATGCATGAAAATGAAATTATAATAAACAACAAGAAGATTAGAACTGTAAAGCATCTGGCTGATAACTATAAGAAACCTGACTGATGTACTTCCAAGGTCGTGTGATCCATAGAGGAATTTCTATTTCAATAAAATAAGGTTTCTACGAAAAAGCATGTGGATGTCTGCGGTCCACTCCTAAAGCAAACTGAGGGAAAAGGAAAAACTGAGCATAGGGATAAATGGATGAATTTTCATGTTGTGTTGTTGGTTTCTTTTTTTTTTTCAATGATACCCTGATCCTAGGCAGTGAGAAACTCAGATAATCTCTCAGACCCAGGACAAAAAAACCGCTTTCAGAGCTTCTAAACAGAAGCTTTCAGAGCTTCTAAATGTAATGATGTTACATTTGCACAATATCAAATATATATTGTATATATATTTGCTGCAGAACCAGTAGATTACTGACAGAGAATTAGGAAATACTTTTAAAGGGAGCCCAAAACCATAAAGAAAGAAAAAAAAATTGAAACAATAATTTATGGAAAATTTCAGAAAGCTGAGCACCCTATTCTGAGTTCTAAAACAGATTTAGCAACGGAAGATTACTAATTGGATTCACTATGCATGCATATCCTTGCTTTGCACGTATATAAAAAACATACTATTTTGTTCTCTTTCATTTTCATGCTTCAGCCACTCACTTTTGATTGAATCACCGCAAAACCATTTCATTACAGCAAGATCTGCAAAAGCATTCACAACTTCTCATCAATTTTCAAAGCAATTAATCACATTAAAACATTGTCTGGTGCAATAAAGAAAGGCCATGAAACCCGGAGTAATTTAAAACTGTCTTACATTGCCATCAGTTGACGGTTTATCTATTATCACCTCTGGCAGAAGTTGTCCAGTAGGCGACAATAGACCTGGTGGTCCATCCACTAAGGAAACCACTCCATTGCAGTCCACAGCACTCTGCATCTTCCCATTCACTGGAAGTGCTGTCAGCCTTCTTGATGATTTACTGGCCTGACTGATGTTACTGCTGCGCCGTTCACCGTGTCTGCACGGCAAAAAGAGAGAACCTCTTCTGCTCGAATTATCCTCAAATGTGCTGTGCTCATCATCAGCAAACTCATTTTCAGATCCTCTCTCCCTTCCGTATTCTCTAAAACTGAAAAGGCTTGTTTTGCTACTACGCCTGGGAGAAAACAGGGAGCCACGAACACTCAGCAAAGACTGCAAAGGAAACATAAAAAACTGACCATCCAAAGATTTCAAATATACAAAATGCATGTCTATGTATTAAAAAATAATAATTTATATTTCCCAGGAATCTGTCAGTGTTATCTTTAATACAGTGCCTCAGGCAGTTCTCAGAGATACATTAGAGATGAAAGTCATCTGAATGGGTACATTTACAGTGTACCTAAAACAATTACTGGAGAGAAAAAATGTATAAGGATGAAAATGTAGTTTCATCTGTTTTAAAGAGAAAAATAGAAATTCTAATGATACATATAGATCATGCATTAAGTTAAAAGATATCAATACCCTTAGTCTTCTACATTCATACATTATACTTTAATTTTCCTTTTACAAATTAAGAAGATATTTCTATTTTAGATAAACTAGGAAAATGCAAGGCTTCTGTGCATGTTATGACCCACTAGGTCCTAAAGATCTGGATATCATGGTTATGCCACAAATTTCAAAAATGACAACTACACTATTCACAGTACCTGGTGAGGTGATGTAAATGGCTTCCCATAGGTAAGTCTGTTCCCATCAAAAGAAAAACGGAAACCTTTACTTTTGATACTTCCATCTGATTCAGATTTTGGAAGTTTTATGTCATCCTCTTCTCCAGACAGCTCTCTCTGCTTTCTCTTCTTCCTTCTATTTCTCCTTTCTTTGGCACTTTTTGAGCTAAGCTTGGATGCTTCTGAAGAAGTATCTGAGGGTCCAGCAATCCCACTTTCACCGCTGTATTCAGTCATCTCTGTTACAGTTGCTGCTATTGCCTGCCACAGCAGTTATTTAATGAGATGCTTTACAAATCACATCATTTTTAAAAGAAAAATACAGCCCTTGTTCCTAAGATTAATAGCCCTCGTTCCTAAGATTTATATCAAATGAAATTCTGTAACATGAATGGAGTTCTACTTTGCATCCATATCTTGGAGACAGACCACATTGTCTACAGCCACAAAGTTCATTTGAAAATATTTGAAAATCAATAAAAGTATTAGTTAGAGTGAATGCAATGGCAAAAAAAAAAAAAAAGCTAAACAGATTCATACTTCAGTCGTACTAATTTAGCAAACTAATTCTAACTTTTATTGTAAGTAACCACTTCCTTAATCTGCTCTTAGGAAAAAACTTTGAGGTACTGCTTCCAGTTTTTGATTCACTGCTAGGAACAAAAGTAGCAAAATTTAGTCAGAAATTTATGGACAAAAACACTGTACACTCTAATAAAAGCTTGACAAGTATTGAAAATATTTCTAAGCTGAGAATTTGGAAAATCATCATGACAAGTTACTAGATAATACCCCGAGATAAGAAATATTTATTTTAAAACTGTTATTCTGATTTGGAGAGTACTTTTTATTCTCAGTTCAGAAATTCATTAATGCTTTAGACATTATACCTTTAAAAAGCAATAGAGCCATAGAAAAAACAGTCTAAAGTACTTGTGAGGTATGTTGAAGAATGGGGTTTTTTTAATATGTGAATTTAATTACTGCTTTTAACAAATAGCACACAAAGAAATACACTAAAGCCCAAACTCTTGTTAGAAAATACCTGAGCTGCTTCTTGCTGCTTCCTCAGCTGTTCAAGCATCAGTTGGAAGTCTGCCTCCCTCTGCTCTGCTTCAAAGATAGTTGCTTGATTTTGTTCTTCATAGGCCATGGCAACCACAGCCAAAATCAAGTTAATCAAATAGAAGGAACCCAGAAAAATCACCACAACAAAAAATACCATGTACGATGTGCCAGCAGCTCGTAGCGTCTATAGGAGGAGAGGAGAAATGATCCATCTGGTGAAGACATGCATCAATTCTGCAGTTCATAAGCATTAATGAATTTGAAAAGTGAAAACTAATACTGAGTTGTTTTTCTTCTGTAGAAAGATCATACAAGCTTTCTGAATTACAAAGTAATCAAAACAAAGGGACCATTCATGTACGTGGAAAACATGTTTTAGGACCATGCTTTTCTGAGACAAACCTCTTTCAATACCTAATAATCTTGAAAAGGATATGGGATCAGAGTTATTAATGTAAACCACATAGCACAGGTTGCATGCTTAGAATGTTTACCATATATTAGCATGCTTTCCATTTGAAATAACCAAAATAATTAAAAATGTTACAGTTGTTTAGATAATTAGAAAATAATATTTATTATAATTAACACATTTGCACACACCATATAATGAAAAGCTATGGTAAGAAAATTAATTTATATCAAGACATGCATTCTTAGTTACTAGAAACAGGATTAAAAGAACAGAATTAAGATTCAGATTTTGCTGTAACATTTTTACAAGTTCAACTCAACATTGACATTTTCGAAAATATCTTATCATGCAGCACAAAATCTAATATACACTGTAAAAATTAAATCAAGGATCAAAAAAACCCTCATGGGCCTCTACGGAAATCATGAGACTCTCTAACAAGTGTCCATGTCTGCTCAATTCTGCAACTGAATTTGCTTCCTTTATTAATTTTCAATTGTTAACAACAACAGTGGTGTGCAATATCAACAAGAATGGCCTTTCCATGATTGATTTGAGGTCAATAAGACACTAATCACAATTTTTACTATACACTCACCAACTGATAAAGATTTTCCCAGCCGTCCTGTGTCATCAGTCGAAACAGTGACAAGAAAGCCCAACTGAATGTATCAAAGCTAGTATATCCATAGTTGGGGTTTTTACCAGCTTTCACACAGATATACTCTTCTGGACATTTACTAGGAGGCAAAAAAAAAGAAGAAAAAGAGGTAAAGCAATCCATATACAAATATATAACTTTTTTTTTTTAATTGTTATGCCTTGAGCTTCTAAGGAAGTTTCATCTGTGAAGGGTGCTGCTATTTATGGCTTACAACATTTCAAAAATTAGTGAGGAAATTAAGAGTGTTCTTTAAAGAAAAATCCAGGAAGAACAAACAAGTAAATGAAAATATTTCTTCTTACACCCTTTCATTATAGACAAAATAAAACTTATTCCCAACAGTTTGGTATTAGTTCTACAGATACCTCTTCAACTAAAACAACATATTTACTTTACACAGAGATCTGAAGAAGCAGATACTACCATGCAGAAAAAGGAAAGCATATGTATTTTATGCTGAACTTTGTCTGTCAGTGAGGTTGGCATACTAGATTTCTGAGTTTCTGCACATTTGTGAATTAGTAAGCCTAATTAACGAATTCTACCAATTCCTCAGCAGCAAATAACCCACATAGGGTTACTTGTACATATCGGTTTCGAGAGTAGGTGATCCAATCTTGATATCAACTGTAGGCACACTGTTTAAATTATGATTCCATTCTTGAAAGACAGAAAAGGTTCTTGCCTCCAAAACCTCTACAGAAAAACATTATAAAGATTTCTTTTCACATATGTGTGTGTATATTTGATGTGTACTTATAGACACATAAAATTATCTCATAGTTACATACATAAACTAAATGTTTACCAAAATAGCTTAAGTATATATGTTTTAAAGCCATAACCAACTGAAAGCAAGAGATGGACTGATATACCATTAGCAAATAGAATTATGTGATTTTGTTACAGAGAACTGTCACAAAGAGAAAGCAAGACAATGTCATGCATGCAGTTCCCAGACAGAAGAAACCTGAAGGTGTCATCCCCAAATCTGGTCATAAGTCTCAGTGCCCCATGCCTATTTCAGAGTTGAGAAGTTGCATAAAACCTATGAATAAGTAGTATGTTCTTAAGCAATTGATAACACAATATCTAAGTTTAGATTGATATTTTTTACATGTTTAGACATGTAGTATGGAATTTTCAGTGTACCTTACCCTGCATCTGTGTTATTGCCACAAAGCAAAAAATCCTTTGCTCCTTCTAGGCGATAGAAATGACCTAAAGAAAAAATAGGAAGAGATATGTTTACAAATGGAAGGAGTTGTTTTTTGGGTTTTTTTTTAAGGATGAACCTGTGTTCAAATCATCATGTTTCGAATGTTCATAATCTCCCATCTATGGTTTCCCAATAATGGCACAATCCCAGAATCATAGAATGGCTTGGTTTGAAAGGTACCTTAAAGATCATCTGAGGTTCCAAACCCCCCTGCCATGTGCAGAGATGCCATTTACTAGATCAGGGCCCCATGCAACCTAGCCTTGAACACTTGCAGAGATGGGACATCCACAACCTCTCTGGGTAACAAAACAAAAATACCGTGGAAAAATAAAATCTTAGAACAATGATTAAACAGTATAAATTCCATTTTCTCTTCTTGAGTCACTGCACACTGGATATCTTTCCAAAATATGATTTCCAATAAACGAGAGAAAGAAAACACAAAACTTAAAACTTCTCTTATTCAGCAGGTAGATTGTAATCAGAAAATTAAAGCCTATCTCATTTGAAATGGAAATATTTCTAATGGTTGGTTGAGAGTTTTGAAGTCAGAGCAACATTAACTAGCACATCCTGTGACTAAAATATGAAGGCAGCATTTAAAAAGAAGATGGATGTTCCAATGACAATAACAGCTGCTGTACTATAAACAACTTTACAAAATTTTCCTTCTAATTATGAGGTGGTAGCCTTCAGAAATAAATGAATATATTTTGTTGTTAATGATTAACAATTGTGCTGTCCTCAAATAAAATTTAAAAAAAAAAAAGAAAAAAAAAAAAGAGATAAAAAATACAGAAAAAAAGATGATAGTAAATCAAGGAAGAAGTTCATAGGAGTGAGGGTAGGCCCCATTCAGAGGGACCCAGGCAGACTGGAGGAACAGGCTGACTGGAGACACATAAAAATCAGCAAAGATAAATGCAGCTGTGTACCTGGGAAGGAAGAGTCCCTGCAGTGACATGGGCTGGGAACTGACAAGCTGATGAGCAACTCTGCACAAAGTGCCCTGAGACTTTTGTTGGACAGAGAGCAAGGTGAGGCTGAGCCAGCAGTGTGCCCTGGCAGCCAGGAGGGTCAACAGCCTCCAGGGCTGCAGGAACAGAAGCCCAGCTTGCAGAGCGAGGGAAGTGACTGTCCCCCTTGGCTCTGCACTCATTAGACTTCTCCAAGAGAACTGTTTCCAGGTTTGGCCCCACAGTGCAAGCAGACATTGATAAAATGGAGCAAGTACAGCAGAGGGTCACCCAGGTCATGAGGGGGCTGGAGTGTTCACCATGTGAGGAGAGATCAAGGAACCTGATTGTGTTCAGCCTGGCAAAGGGAAGGCTCTGGGGGGAGTTGGTAGAAAGCATCCAGTAACTACAAGGAAGTTATCAAGGGGACAGAGACAAGTTCTGGTGCTTAGCAGAAGAATGACAGACACTGGGCATAATCTAAAACAAGAGAGGTTCTGACTGGACATAATGAGAAACTTTTCACCATAAGGATAGCCAAGCACTGAATGTGGAAAAGACACAGAAATCTGGAAAAAAACCTCTATTCTCAACTAAATCAATGTGTTGTCATCCTCAGTTGATGTCATCAATGTACCTTTTAAGCTGACAAGGGCTTTGGTTTTCACGAGGTAAAAAATTATTGTAGTATTTAAATAGTCAGAAACAGCCCAAGGGATAAAAAATATAAGAACAGAGGAGGATTCTAAACTGAACGTTTAAATCAAATACAGTGATGCCAAAACCCTACCATCAAAGAACAGTACTTATATAAATGTTAGAAAAATTATAATCCTATTACTTCCCTAATAGCTTTAGAGCTGGCTAAAACTCTAAATGTTCAGATAATGACCTAAATGCCATGTGCCGATTCTTTGGCATGGGGATCCAAGATCTGTGCTGTAGTTTCAAAAAACGAATTTGGCCTTGTTTCTTAATGAATGAAAATGCACACATGTTAAAAAAAGTGACAAGAGGATATCACCCTCGGTCACAGTTGACCAGAATATAATAGCTGAAAAAAATATTGGAAGGACCCATAATTGAGCCCAGTGAAACTATATTGCAATGCCACTGTATAGAGTGTATAGTATTAAGAATAGTTATACGAGAAAGGAAGAATAAAAACACAACAAGATCTAACAGCCTTGCCTGCATCAGCACTCTGTAGAGACTCACAACAGTCAACAGATGCAGCACAGGAAGCAACTGACATTGTTACTGTGCAACTGGTCAAATGCTGGAACAGGCTGCCCAGAGAAGCTGTGGAATCTCAGTCCTTAGAGATACTAAAAACTTGACCTGACAAGGCACTGAGCAGTCCGCTCTAACTGGACCTGCAGCTGAGCAGCAATTGGTTTGTACTGTGGAGATCCTGTCTAGCCTACATGATTCTGTGATTCTAAAACCAAACTAACCCTATAAATACATTTCTAAGTGCAGCTAATGGAAAGAACAATCATGTCAGCATGAGTTTAAGGTGTAATACATACAAACCCTAAGTCTTTGTCATCCTATTTAAATGCTTTTTTATCTTTAGTCTGTAGTATGAAACAGTTAACTTGTGTTTGTGTGTGTTTTTACACAAAAATTTTAGAAAGTCACAACATTATTTCTTACTTTCTTCCTTAATGTATGCTTCCCAGTCAAATTCTGTACCATTAAAGTATGGAACTACGTATTTTTTAAAAGCTGTTGAATTTTCTGGTGGCCAGAACAAGCATTTATTCTTCAAATTGCCCATGAACAGCTGCAATCCTATTAGTGCAAATACACTCAGGCAAAACACAGTCAGGATCATAACATCCGAGAGCTTCTTCACAGACTGAATTAATGCTCCAACAATAGTCTTCAAGCCTGCAAACAGAGGCAGATTTTTATTTTAATACTAAATATTTACCTAAGCTAAAATGCAATGCAAACACTACTAATTATCATGCATAGCTTCACAAAAAAATAGTCTTTTTTTCACAAAAATATTTTCAAAAGGAAGAGATACCAATAAGTTTTCATCATTCCTGAAAGATTAATTTGAAAATAATGTATAGAGGAGGATGAATGGTACACATTCCAAACCACCCGCTCTTGAAATGAAGAACTTTTAATTTATGCTCTCAATACATGTAAATTACACCTAAAGAAAATAGTTCATTTTCTTTGCTTTTTGATGCCTCTTGCTCCAAACCTTTTCCAGTGTTCCATTCCAATATACAATACATTAGTTCTCTAACATCAAACCAAAAGAGAGCACAACTGTATTTCAGTAGTAATTTTAATGTCTGCATCCTAATGCACCCTATTCCACTGGAGATGGAGTTTGGTGAAGATAGGCATCATAAGCTAATAAATATATCATGCAATTTCCATGCTACTTTTTATTATCTCATTCCTCTAGGATTCAAGTTTTACAACACACTAAAATTTTCAATCTTTCATAAATAGTAACACTCAAATTAGTTAGAGAAATATATAAGGAATTCATTTTGATCCTTAATGTGTGAAAGTTTGACATCATGAAATGGAAATATATACAGGCTATGTAAAGGAGTTTCCCATGCAACAATGTATTAAACTCTGAGGTTGAGTGTTTTAGAGAATTAGAAAAGGGAATGAAGTTAATACTAAAACCTGGATGTTTCTGTTAAAAACATGAGTTCAGCTTCTGTGGAGTTTCAGTCAGCCTCAGTGTTTAACCTCTTTCTCACCTGGAATGACTGATATTGTTTTCAAAGTTCGGAGAACTCTGAATGTTCTCAATGCTGAGACATTGCCCAGGTCCACAAGCTCTGTCACATATCTGTAGTGAGGCATTCCACACACAAACACAATGACAGCACACACAAAGTTAAACAGAGGTGACACAAGAGCACGTACTATTTTACACAGTTACTTCTTACCTGGAATTACAGAAATAGTTTTCAAAGCTCTCAATACTCTGAAAGTTCGAAGAGCTGAAAGATTGCCTAGGTTTACAAATTCTGTTATATACCTGTAGGATTAAATCACAGTCATTCAGAATTAGGCAGAGTGTATACTACTTACCTGGACCTGTAATTCACATTTTCTCTTTTTTTTTTGAAGGAGCAAGTTTAAATGAAAAAATTGCTTTCATATTTTCCTGTTTCAATTAAGTTTTCCCTAAAAAACGCACACTTCAGCTTTTCCAGTAAATGCAAATTTAAAATGAAATGTATATCCCTGATTTTATTTCTTAAATACTAATTAAAATTGATTGTTCACCAGTAACTTCTCTTTTGTACTGTGGGATAGCCCACTAATTCTGTTATGTGCTACATTAATGTGAAATATTAAAGTGGAAAAAACTGAAACACAATTCAACTACAATTAATTTCAAATGAGCTAACATAAGCCAAACAAATTATTACAGACTCAAAAAAATACTTACGCAAAGGAAATGACAATAAAATCAAGCCAGTTCCAGGGGTCACGAAGGCAAGTAAAATCATTTATACAGAAGCCCATTGCAAGGACTTTTACTAGAAATTCAAAAGTATAAATTCCAGTGAAAGTGTACCTGTAAGAAACATTCAAGCAAAAGTTAGACTGTTGTGTTGTTCAGTGATACATCACAGGAAAATAACTCAAAACCAGTCATTAGTACATGCACTGTAATAGCAGTTACAAACTCATACATATTTTTGCAGTTCCTAGCATGTAAGTTTTTGAAATTTCATCACTAATAATCATAGAATCAGCTAGGTTGGAAAGGACCTCCAAAATCATCAAGGCCAACCCTTGGTCCTACCGCTGTGGTTGCTAGACCATGGCACTGAGTGCCACATCCAATCTCATCTTAAAAACCTCCAGGGACGGAGAATCCACCACTTCCCTGGTGGATTCTGGGCAGCTCATTCCAATGCCTGATTACCCTCTCTGTAAAGAATTTCTTCCTAATATCTAACCTAAACCTCCCCTGGCACAGCTTAAACCAGGTCCTCTTGTCTTGTCTGGGAGAAGAGACCAACCCCCACCTGGTTACAACCTCCTTTACAGCAGTTGTAGAGAGTGATGAGGTCTCCCCTGAGCCTCCTCTTCTCCAGGCTGAACAGCCCCAGCTCCCTCAGCCTCTCCTCACAGGACTTGTGCTCGAGTCCCTTCACCAGCCTTGCTGCTCTTTTCTGGACCTGCTCCAGCACCTCAATATCCTTCCTGAACTGAGGGGCCCAGAACTGGACACAGTACTCCAGGTTTACTCCAGATGTGGTAATAATAATCATGACTAACATGAAAAAAAATATTTTTGTTCAAATAAAAATTTCAGCATGGTTGCCATGTCAGAAATAAAATCCATGGGTAAGTGAAACCTAATATTTACTAAAGGTACGCAATGGCTGAGCAGATAGACTTGAGAATATCAAACAATTATCCCCAGTAGAGGTATTTTCTTTATAGAGGGTGTCCTATTTTTAAAATTTCATTGTACAAAATGAAGGTGTTTCAAAAGGGCTACAGAAAGTATCTTCTGTACTGAAAAGCAGTAGTTTCGGCTTCAATGGTTATTTTCTTTTTCTCTTTTTTTTTTTTTTAATGATAAAGGAACAGCCCAAGAATGCATAAGAACATTATTTGTACAAATATTCTGATGAAAAGTATTTATCAGTGTTTTGTTCAGAGAAAGAGATTAACAATGTCACAGCTTCTTTCCTTCACAGAGCTTGCAAAACTGCTGCTTTGAGTTGCAGTTAGGACCAAACCCTAAGTAAGAAAAAGATATTACACAGAAGGGTAAGTAAAACTACATGGTCTAGCTCTTAATTTGCTTGTCATTTTTAAACTACTTTAAAAATTATTAGCCAATTTAAGTATACTTACTCTACAATCTTCATCCATTCTGGAAGTTTAGCCCATGTCATACATACACAGTTTGCCATAATAGTGAGCATAATGAGCATGTTGAACCATGTTGACTGTAGTTAAGGAACATACTCCTTTTAAAAGCTGAATTTGCATAACATAAAATATGAGGAATTGACAGGCCATAGAATATTGATACAAATCATATATATTGGCTATACAGTTATCACAGAATCATTTAGATTGGAAAAGACCTCTGAGACCATCAAGTCCAACCTTTGACTGATCACTTGTCAACTAGACCATGGCATAAAGTGCCACATCCAGTCATTTCTTGAGAACCCCAAAGATTGTGACTCCACCACTTCTCTGGGCAGCCCATTCTAATGCTTGACAAGCCCTTCCATGAAGCAATTCCTCCTGAGTCCAATCTGAACCTCCCCCGGCACACCTTGAGGCTATATCCTATCACCCTGTCACTAGCTGCCTGGGAGAAGAGGCCAACCTCTACCGGGCTACAACCTCCTTTCAGGCAACTGTAGAGAAATATAAAGATTCCCCTGAGCCTCCTTTTCTCCAGGTTAAACCCCCCCAGCTCCATCAGCTGCTTCTCACAGGGCATGTGCTGCTCCTGACCCTTCACCAGCTTCACTGTCCTTCTCTGGGACCTCACTGTCTTTCTTCTACTGAGGGGTCCAGAACTGAACACAGCACTCAAGGTGTGGCCTCACCAGTGCCAAGTACAGGGGAACAATCACTGCCCTGGTCCTGCTGGCCACACTCTTTCTGATACAAGCCAGGATGCCTTTGGCCTTCTTGGCCACCTGGGCACAGGCTGGCTCATGTTCAGGTGGCAGCTGATCAGCACCTGCAGGTCCTTTTCCACTGAATCACTTTCCAAGCACTCTTGCCCAGCCTATGTCACTGCATGGGAGTATTGTGGCCAAAGTGTAGGACCTGGCACTTGTTTATGTTGAATCTCATGCTGTTAGTCTTGGTCCATCTTGAGCCTTTTCAGATCCCTCTGCAGAGGCTCCGTATCCTTCACCAGATCAACATTCACACCCGGCTTGGTGCCATCTGTGAATTTACTGAGGGTACACTCAATCCTTCATGAAGATCATTAATAAAGATATTAAACAAGGCTGGGCTCAGTACTGCACCTTGGGGAACCTCACTAGTGACTTCCTCGGAATTTAATCAGCAGCTTATAGTGACTAATCTTAGCTCTGATTGATTTTGAGAGGAAAGAGTTAAAGGTAGGAACACGTTTAAACACTAAACTAAAACCACCAGTGCTAATAATAGTAAAATTAATCAGTAATAATTTTTAATAAACCACTGCAAAAAGGATATGAATGAACCAAAATCTTAATAGCTATTCTTCTAATAATATTGAAAGGAGATAAAAGGTACAAGGCAGGTGTGGCACTGAACCTGTGGATTTTCTTCCCTTTATTCAATACTATAAATGTCTTTAAAAAAATAGACAAAAAGGGTGTTGGGGAAGTGGGATAGGAAATAGGAAATTAAGGATACATATTAGCAATCTTACCTTTATAGAGGCTGTACTTACACAGATCTAAGTAGCTGCCATATTTGTTTTCAGTAGAATTATACAAGCAAATATCAGATTCTAAATTTTCACATGAACCATGAAAACTCATGCATTCTTTATTTCTGTGCTCTTAAACAAAATCTGCATTTCAGCATTTTCTAGGATTAGGTAATTACATTAAAAATATAATTAAAAATATGTCACTTTTAACATTTAGATTTAATGCAGCTCTATTACTTGTACTTCAGATTAAAGCTGGCAATGCAAATCAAAGGCCCTAACTAACCATTTTTGGACACTCATGAGCAAATATTTAACCGTTTCAACATGTTAAAACTGCCTCTGACTTGAGACAGCCTTCATTTTTTAAAGGCTTTATTGCCTCTATTGCCTGTGCATTTGTCACTAGCACCATCCATGTAAACATTTTTGATTTTAACTAGGAGACACAATGAAAATGTCATCTAATGAAATCTTAATTCTTATGATTTTAACGTCTTATGATTATTCCCCCCAAAAGGCTAATATCTGGAAACAAGAAGGTTATAACACTGAATCTTTCTGTATTCCAGTGATATGTTATTGTAAAAGAAACAGGTCATTTGTCAGAAGTATTCATAAAGTTGAGAGAACAAAAACTAAAATAACTAAAAAAAATAATCTACAACTGATTATTGATCTTCTACATTCTGTACGAGAAAAAACCCACTGCTTTAACTAAATTGCTTCTTCCAGAGATAATACAGCTCTTTGGTCAATTTCTTACTTCTGAGATACTAATTTGTTGATTATCCAGTACTTCATTTCAAGAAACTGCTCTATGTTTTTCATTCAAAAAGCATTTTATTGATTTACACAATAAAATAACCACTTCCTGCTTACTTTGTCCTGTCTTTTTAATGTAAACTCAATTTAGTTTTCTTTCTGGACATTTTACTTCACATGCCTACATAAAAGTATGTTTTCTTCATCTGTACTTGCCAAAGTAATCACTTCGCTCTTTTCTTTTGTTATAGTTGTATCTACAGAAGAAACTGAGTAATTATACATAAATTTATATATATAAAATTTATATATAAAATATACTTATAATATATATAAATTTTAGAGTTATATATATTCTATATATTTTTATATATTTATATATATAAAATATAAAAGAATATATTATTATATTTTAATATATATATAGGTTTATATTAGGCCTATAACATAGACCCAATATTAAAATATTTCCTTTTTTTTTACTTTTGTAAAACAAATATTTTTTATGATATTTCAAGAATTCTTTGACAGTGATTGTTTTGGCATATGACTGAATGAGCACTTGTCCAAGGACTACTGCCATGAACTAGATCTCAGGTGCTACATTTCCTAAAAAACCCAGAGAGTAGCCAGACAGAGGGGAAATTTTCAAATGCTTCAGCTTTCAATCAGATCTGAGGAGATTACAGGATATTTAATGCAGAATCCATTAAGTAAAATACAGTAACATTAGACATTAAAATAAAACTCTTAAAAAAAAAACCCAACCAAAAAACAACTTAAGCAAGTTGAAGTCAGCTGTCTTTACAGTGTAATTAAAACAATTAACATGATGTCACCTCAATAAGGGCTTCTGACCACCTCCCCACCAGAGCACTTAACCCTATATAGTTCAACAGGAGTGTTCTAATTACACTCTCAATATAAAATACTTACTTTTTTATTGATGTAATATGGGTCCAGGTCCTCCAGGGGCTCAGACACCATTCCTGAAGGAATATCACCATAAATAAATGGTAGTATCTTTCCTGCCTCCAAGTCATTGCTTGCCTTTGGGTGATTTTCTTCATGACCACCATCATCTTTAGGCTCATCTTTGTCACAATGAGATATTTCATCAGCAATACGTTTTTCAATAGCTGCAAGAGATTCTTTGGTGAAATAGAAGAAGCTTTCAGGTCCTGGCGGTACCAGCATTGCCCGTGCCATCTTTTCATTCTGCAAATTTTAAATGCTTTTAGGCTCTTGTGCAAGAAGATCCTGGGAAAACAGGAAAAAACAAACAAACAACAGAAACTAGAGAGCACCACCACCAAGATCCCCACACAAAAGTTTTTGGCATAGTCATCATCTGCCCCTTTTCTACTTATAAAGCACTGTAGCAAGAAGTATTTCAATTAATTGTCAGATACCTAACAGAAAATTAGCTACCAGTAACAACATGGCAAAGAGATAGAAGTTATGATGTAACAAAAAAAAAAATAGGGGGGGGAAAAGTTAAGATTTGCTTATAGTTTGTTAGAGCTCAGGTTAATATCTCACAACAAGAAAAACGAAAAACATTCTCACTTTCCCTAGCCTAACATCGTTACCTTATTGTGAAAATGTAAGAAATATAATAGCACAGCTAAGTACTGCAGTGAGTGGTTAAAACTTCTAAGACATGGATTTATACATTGTTGGTACAGTACTTTAAAAAAGCTTGTCACATATATTACAAAAGTAGAAAGAAAAACCATGATATTTCTATTACTCTCAATTTCTCATGGCAACATTACTCCATCTAGTGGCTTATACTACTTGCTAGACTAATGTTCATATTATACTATTAGACAGGTATTACATAAAGGCATTCTTTACTTAAAGCCATGTGCACAAGCAGAAAGCAACTGGGCTGAAGTTTTGTCTTTCTCTTTTAGGGCTTCTAATTTCTATCCACCTGATTTTTAATTTTATCTTTGATGGTGCTACCTCCATAATTAAGGAAGTTATGATGGATGAAGGGGTTTAGATTTATACAGAAAGCACATCATACTCTACTCAAAATTGCAGTACTCTCTTTGAGGCCAAAGATATTTTCAAAGTACTTAAAAATAATAAATTCATTAAATTACAACAACCCCTGACTGATGACTTCTTTCTAGGTTTACACTTCCTACAGTGAGAGTACAGTTAATACCCAAGGGTAAGTATCTTCAGAATAAACCAGTTTTATGAACAGAGACAAAACAGATCCGATCCCACTTGCTGACTGTCATTAAGGTGCAGCCTTTGTCAACACAACAATGTGGTGAGTAGACTTTGGTTGGTTGCTCTCCACTCCCACTCCACAAAAGACAGTGGAGTGGGGGAGAATGTAGTGAAAAAAATATGAAGACAGGGAGATCATTTACAAATTACTGTCATGGGTAAAACAGACTCACTTGGAGAAAAATAATTTATTGCCAGTTAAAACAGAATGGAATGATGAAAAACAAAGATAAATCCTAAAAGAACTTTACCTCTTTGTTCCAGGCTCAACTTCAATGCTCCATTCTCAACTCCTACCTCCTCCCTGCCCAAGTGGCACAGGGAAGATGGGGAATGGGGGCTGGGGTCAGACCCATCCGTTCCTCTTTGCTACTCCTTCCTCCCCATGTTTTTCCCTTGCTCCAGCATGTGTCCCTCACATTGGTTGTAGAGCTTCAGGATAAGATTGCTGCAATGTGGGCTCTACATGTGCCTTCCCATCAAGGAATATCCACTTGCTCCAATGCTGCATCCTGCACAGGCTGCAGTGTGGATATCTGCTCTGGCACTGTCCTCTGTGGGCTGTGGGGAAATACCTGCTTTGATGTGGCCTGTCCCTCAGGCTTCCAGGGAATTTCTGCTCCAAGACCTGCAGCCCTCCTCCCGCTCCTGCTCCCCTGACCTTGGTGTTAGGGCTGTTTCTCATGCTTTTCTCCTTACACTGACCTGTGGCATTTTGCTCTTTTTTGGATGTGTTTTCCCCGAGGTGCTTACAATAAGATTTGTTTTTTCTTTATTGAATGATGCAAACAACACTTAATATATATGCAGCTATAACATAAATAGTCTACACACAGTTATTATCTAAAATGGTTAGATGTTTGCACAAAGTCTTTTAGAGTCTGAAGAGGCAAGAGAGCAAGATCTAACAGCCATTAGACCAGCTTCTATATTGTAAGCAAACAGAACAAGAGCTGTACACGTGTTGCTGCCCTGTTACAGTTATGTTGCCCTTTATAGGCTAAATACCAAACAGGTCTTTCAGCACATCTACACACCACTGACCAGTCCACCATGCCTACGAACAAGTAGGGCACATTTGGCAGTCTAAGAAATACTTAGGTAATTTTGTGTTTCAATCACTATCTTCAAAAACAATACAGACAGAAATAAATATGTCAACAAAAAACACCACCACCAACAACAACAGAAAAACCCTCTCAGAGAATTCAACTATATACCAAAACGTTTGGTTGGTCTTTTGGAGGATGTTCTTGTCACTTGGATAAAGGCTCTATAAAACTTTAGGAATAGTTTTCTAGTCAACATTTGGCATGTAGACTCAGAAGGTGAGGAATATGATGCCTGCAGAAACTACTTGTTATCAAACATGTATTTGAAAATGTCACTAACTGTTACGTCTGTCTATGTATTTAGGCTAAATTTACTCTTTAGAGGTCTATAATGCGTAAAATTAAAAGCTCATGACTGTTCATTTTACCAAATACCGCTACAGCCTTATGGCAGTTTTTCTGAGTTATTACAGATGTTATCAGAATGAAAACCAATGTTTCCACTTGCATGTTCATATTCCACTGGTTTATTCAGCAAGGCTTAAGTGGTACCCTTAGGGCTGAGATGAACTCTAGAGACACCACAGCCAATGACTGCAGCACATCTCTTGGTGTTAGCACAAAACTGAAAAAAGTTATGTTCTAACACATGACAAATCTCTTCTGTGATTGATCTACCCTAGCAGCCTAATCACAACCCATGCTTGGAAAAAAACTGCACACTTATTAAACACATCCTGAGTTACAATTCAGTGATCATATTTTCTTGTCATGATTTTTTTAAAGTAATAAAAATATATAAATTTTGTAACACTGTGGAACAAACAGATGCTGCTTATATCATTACATCATGGAAATCAGTTTACCCAAGAAAGAAATGGAATGAAAAAAAATTTATGAAGCAGGTTGGATTGCTTTAATGACTTGAATGTGTCTCTTTTTTGCAATTTTGATGACTTCTGTACTACAAATTAAGAGGTAGTAACAATCAAATCAGGAAACAAAAAAGAATGGGAATCCTGAAGAAACTGTTAGCCCTTCCCCCCAAAACCCCCACAAAAGTCCTTCTGAAAACAGAAAAAGGCCCAACATTAAAAAAACCACCATCAATAAAAAACAAAACCCAACACATAAAGCCCAGTTTACTCAGTTTACTCTGAAGAATTAGGCTCCTAATCTACCATATTGTACAGATAAGCCTGAATGGAGACTCCCTCTATCAAGCAGGACAGAAAATGCAAATTACAAATGAAAGATTACGTAAAACTGTGACATATCACAGACTATATAGTAGCACAGCACTAGAAGCAAACTCTTGGGGCCAGGAACAAGACGATTAACAACACAATACTGATGTAAACATAAATATATTTTCATGGAGTATGGCTGACTAAGTAAGAAAAATTTATAAATGATCATTTAAATAATATTTTTAATATGTATACAAAGAAAAGCATCAGGGTCACTTATGTCAAGTTTGAGGTTTTTAAGCTCGAGTCCACTGGGCTAAAAACAAAAGCATGAATATATATGATTTTTTGTTTCTATTTTCTACAGGAATCTACAAAATGTTTATTTTAATATTTGCAAAAATAATGGTCAAGTTTAGACTCAAATCATACTGCAGAAAAACAGCAGTAATGAGGAAATGAATGAGTCATAGTATATTTACCTTAATATTTTTTCAGAGATAGAAACAACATATCTACTCTTCCTACTCTATATTCCATAACATAATTATGATTTTTTACAATATTATTTTCAATGTTCTCTGTACTACGGTACATTTCATAGTACTATTTAGTAGCATGAATAAAGTTTTCAGCATACTAAAGAAGCTGTACTACTGAACTTACTAAGTCTCAAAAACCATTTAAGTCTCACATGTATGAAACTTCATTAAAAATAAGAAGCTGCTACCATGATAGCTGGGTGAAGATGTTCAGTGAAATGCAGTTAGGCAAGTGATCAAATTTGGTGAGTCATAAGCAAATTTACACATATGTTCTTTGCTATGCTCTTATTTGTGCACGTCTGTATGTAAAAGAATATGGGTGTTTTTTTCCAGGGCTGTTGAATTCTACTCTATAAATTAAGATTTACATTATTAACTACTATATTGTCATTATTCAGTGATGCAGCCTTGAGACTGTTACAGTTTCTACAGCAAATAAGCTATGTTTATTACTGATACCTCAATATTACTATTCTGCAATTGTTTGCAAAACAAGCAGGAAGCTATAACACAAATCCAGAAAATTCTTAGGACAATGGTTTAATCTAGAAAGCATCTGTTCCTAAACATCAATAAAAACTAAAACGTTACTGAATTATTAATTATTTTGATAAATTAGACCTATGCTACATTTCACCCAATACTTCTCAACAAAAGACTGTACCAATACAAGAACACTCAGTGGGACAGATCATTTTAAAGAAAGTACTTTTTCATCAAGTGCAGATCCAGGAAATTTAGTCCTCACAAACAAGCAACCCAATCACCTTATATCAAACAGCCAACACATCAAATACAAAACTTCACCTTTTTTTTACTATGGGCAAGGCATCAGAGAACAGTGAAAAACATGATTTACATTCTCAGAAATGTGATATACACATATTTTTATTCTATCAAGTGTGATATTTCTGTCATTAACAAGAATTCCATGACATTTTTCCAGACCAGAGTAATATTTCAAGACCCTACTTCTAATTAGGTCTGAATAAGTCATGTAGCCAACTCTCTCCATAATAATCCTAATTTAAAGTTTCTTCAGTTTGTTTACTACTTCTACAATCTAAAGAGAAGTTTATATCAGATTTGCTCCGACACTAAGACTGTGATTCACTTCAATAGCCCATCAGTGCTTCCTAATTTCATATATTTACAGTAAAAATGCTCCTCTCAAAATA